ACACTTTTAATTAAAAAATTCTTCTACCCAGATCAGAATGCTCTAACTATAGGGTTGCATTATCTGATAATGGCCATACCCCCTTTCATTTATTCTGTGTCCATCACAGTGACTACCAACCATGATAATTGCTGGTGTCCTCTTACATCTATCCCTGGTGAGGATGTGATAATCCAGGGTAAAATGTATAGGGTCGCTTGATAGTATGGGGCATTTGCTGTCCTATCCTCTCCCATGCAGATATGCCCTGTTATAGGGACAAACACAGCATTTTCTGTGTTCTGTGAGTCTTTATCCATTCTCTCCCCCATATCGAGCTAACAGTTTCTCAGTCCCATGTTTTATAAGCCTTGCATCTAGAACTTGGCATCCAGAGAATTTTGTGCCTCAATGTGCCAGCCTGATGAACAAGGGACATGAGATGAGCACAAGGATAAATCATTAGGTTTGATTGGCGGCCATTGAGCAGCTGCATCCTTATTACCCTAACATCCCGGAAAGAACCTTGGATGGCAGTCTACCAGGCATCAATACTTGAGCAGTACTGCTACCAAACTTTGCACTTTGTAACTGTCTTTCAAAAAATGGTATCGATCACCAATTCCCCATGGAACCAAGTGCATTGTCGCACAACCAATCAGTGGTTGAAACTTGTTACGTTTGCATCAGCCTCCCACCATGTTACCAACTATGACTTGAGATAACCGAGGCCACCTTTGAAGCTGTGTTTCAACTCTGCAACCTCTTTGTGACATCCCTGATGTCTACTCCTCAAGCCTTTGTCCAATATATTACTCGATGACCAGCTTGGAGAGATTGATGTGAGGACCAGGGTTAAGACAAGGGTATAGCTGCTTTGTCTTGTATACACTTATTCAAAGGCTCATTCTCCTGTTTTGAAGGCAGCTGTAATGCTGCCATGGAACACGGAGCATGCTAGCAATTGCATGCTGGTTTACTCTCTTGCAACGATGTTGATACTAACTATACAATCAGACATTCATCTATAGTGTGCCTCAATACTGAGTAGTGCACGAGTTTGGATGTGGGGCCACTCCACCGAGTTCAGAATGTGCCATCCTTTCATAACAGTGTTAAAAAGTCTAATATTTCAGTATTAAATTTTGAAAAGGATATTTTAACTAAAAAAAACTTTAGAAGTTAATTGTTTGAAATTTAAAAATTCTTTACAAGATATGGATTTAGATAATACTTTTGGGGCTATTGATATTGAAACTTATTTAAATAAGGAAAGAGAAGCTATTCCAGTTACTGCCAAATGCTGATACTGCCTCAAGGTAAGAAACTCTCATGTCTGCAGCCGGAACGAGCTAATGATTACTCGTAGGTTCATTGTCACTGCTGCTTGTTCAGGTACTGATATGGGTGTCCCTGCAGTGTTGGTAGTGATGTCGCGGTGTATCATCACATTGTAATTTCTCTCTCTTCCCTATAAAGATTCATGCTCATTTCTTCATATGCACTGTGTCTTTTACGATATCATGTTCTAACCTTGCTAGTCACAGTCCTCTGTGGCTTGCTTAGCTTCTGAGATGAATCTATAATTCATCGAGGGATTCTGGTGCTAAAAATGCATTTGTGGTGCTGTTGTCCCCATGCATCATTATTAACTGTTATACAATAGTTTGTGATGAACTGAGCAAGAGAATTCCAGAACAAGGTTCAGCATGCAGAAGCCATACAGAACAAACTCCCAGCAGGTCTGAACATCATGGTGGCAGTTGGATCCTTGTGAGATCATTTGGTTATACAGAAATCAGGAGGAAACAACTGTCATGACATAACAAACAGCTCTCGAGTAGAGACAGTGATAGTAATCACCATAATATCTTATACAGGAATGCTGGAGGTGCTGACTCCTTCTCCAGCCCTGAGACTGGGTGCTCTTTGGGTACAGCAGGGGGAGGAGAGATTAGGCAAGTTAAGTATGAGGGCCAAAAGTTTTGTCTTTGTATTATCTTTAAAAACATGAAAGAACTGAAATAGTAATGAATGGAGCATTGGAATATATGATTGTCTGCCTGTCTAAAAAGACATGGAGCAGAGAGATATTGAACTGTCTGAGTCGGAATCGAACCGACAGAATAAATTATGGTATTGACGCCTATACCGTGTTATTATGATTGTGCTAAAAGGCCGTTTGTAGATTATCGTAGGACTCCTTAAAGTCTACATAAACATATTATATGTTGTCAAGTCTGCGCTAAAGCTGAGATTTTCTAGAATTAATCGTGTCTTGCATGACTTTATTATAGATAGTTGCAGGACCCCGGTTCCGACAGCACCTCGAGGGGTCGTCGCTCCGTAGGAGGCGTAGAGGCCGGTCGGAATAAGGATCAAAACGACCCCGAGGACGAGTATGATTTTTAGAACCGGTTCGCCGATCATATACCCCTCCATTTACTTTTAGGTCCAGACTATTAATAATGTACATTAAAATATACTAACCGCGCTCTACGAGCTTAAAAAGTAGAATTAGAATTCAGATCCACGTATCCTTGGATAGGATTCGGCTTGTAAGCGCATGGGAATTAGTATAGCTTCACTGGTTGGTTGATGTCAGTGACCGCAATCGGATGAGTTCAGAATTTGAAATACCGAAGGTCTATTCAGGCCCTCAGAATGCGCTGAAAACCTACGAAGATCTCCTAGCAATGAATACAATGTCACCGCGGATTTTGACACGGTGATCATTGTCTGATTGATGTCAGAGAATACGGCATGCATATGGTGTGGCGGACAAAATACCTTGTACCGGGGCAACCCTTAGTTACGCTATGACGCAGTCAGGAACGAATTCTCAGGGTTTAACCGTTAACCTACCGAGGAACATCTGAAGATGGATTCTTCTACGTACGAAAAGACGGCCTCTGTACGGTGAATATTCTGGCGGGTCTCCCACAGCAAGTCCAATAACAGCTCGTCGTAGAAGATATTGATAAGCCTTCGACGTATCCAAGGAAATGTGCTTCACACTGAACCAACCTCACCCAATAAAATGTGATGCTTTTCATCAGTTCCATCTGTGTCAGCAACCCTGGAGGGAAGAGAATTAAAATCCATTTTCTATATTGCCAGATCGTGAAGGGTTAGAGGTTATTCGGATTAACTGTCTGAACAGCGTTTCATCGGCATGCCGCTCGACGTGGCCGCCATGAGATGCCCAAACTTGAAATTCGGGTTCAAATCACAGGTTTGAGCAAATGTTGCTCCCAAGTTTGGAGCACGGATGGGTTGTGGGTCAATGCGGGGACCTGGGGATGGATACTCTTTCCCAAACTGTAAATGTGATATATTCACTTTGGTAGCAGCACAACAGTACTGCTTGAGTGTTGGCGCGTATTAGCGTCCTAAGTCAGAGTTCTTTCAGAGACGTTGGCGTAATGAGGACGCAGAGGCTTGATGATCACCACACAAACCTAACAGTTCACCCTGGCACCCGTCGTTCATCAGACAAGCCGAGCAGAGTGGGATCGTTGCACCGGAAAAGGGAAAGGCACAAAATTCCCGGAACGCTAGCTTCCAGATGCAAGGGTTATAAGACGCACTGAGAAAAAGTTAGTTTGATAAAGGTGAAGAGACCGGACAAGGACTCACAGAACACTAAAACATTTTGTTCTTCCCTATGACAGGGCAGGGCTGCGTGAGATAGGATAGGACGACCCCATCCTACATTATGCCCTGGATTATGACGTAAGAGGACGCCGGCAATTATCAAGGTTAGGTTGGTAGTCACCATGTTGGGGCCTGTGCACAGAAATGAAACGAAAAACTGTACAGTCATTATCCGATAATACAACCGTGTCGACAGTTGATGTTCTGATCTGGCATCGGCTGCTCACATGTCCAGAGGCCTCTCCCAAGGATAGGACCAGATGCTCCACCCTATCAAGTGACGCTATCCACTGAAAACGTTGAATCTTGGAGGATCGCATCCCCCTCTGGGTTCGACGAAGAGGGTGCCAGCGGAACATAATTGGTAGTCACCGTGATGGATGCAGAAGGAATGAAAGGGGGTGTGGCCATGATCAGATAATGCAACCCTGTCTATAGTCATTCTGATCTGGCATCGGACTGCCGGCATGTGGGATTTCTGTCCAGAGACTATCTCCAGCGAAGCCAGAAAGGACGTCGAAGAAATGAGCACTTTGATGGGACACGTCAGATCGCGAGTCAGGAAGAGAATTTGAAAGAGCATATTTACGTTGTGTCTCGTCTCACGATGATCTCACCTCTAATTTACCACGTTACTACGGAGCTGAAACGTTTTCCATGGATTCGCTCCCGGAGCCTAGAGGAGCGGGTCCTGAAATTCCAAGGATCACCTGAGGTGCCCTAAGACGATTACTCGTAATCCGACTATTATTTTTGAGACGCTACAAATGTCGGACATGAAGGCTAGGGTACCTTGAAGTGTGGATTGTGGGCAGGAAAGGATTGATTTATGCATCTTTAACAGATGGCTGGAAAGAGGCGCAGTAGCAGCGGTCTTCTGTGAGTAAAACTTCGTCTTCATGATCGATAGATCCGATCGGGTTGCTGTGGTCGTTTATACGTATTCGCGACAGGGTAAACCGGGATGGTGTGAAGTCGGCTAGCGTCGAGTTATCGATCCCGTACCTATAACCTTACGGAAAATTTTTTTCTGGGCCAAATTGGATGAGGAATAATACTATAATTTCAGCGAATAAAGACGATGAGATTGCTCACGACTTCCGTATGTCAATTCAAGTACTCTTGTCCATTTTGGGCGCGAAAAACATGTCTTACTTACACTTCAATGTGGCTGTTAGCAAAAGACGGTATAGCAGCATGTCGTAAGCTATGCAAACAATGACTGCGCGTTCTCGCTATTTGGAATGGAATACACTGGCTAGACTTCAGAACCAAAAGCGTCGGAGACCGAATAGATGATTGCCGGAATCCGGCTCCGATTGGCCGAAAGCGTTCAGTTTGGAATACCCAAGTCGCGTCCTTCCCCTCTGGCTGTAGTCGTGCAGCAGAAAATCTAGTGGCATTATCACTGACATATTCAAGTCGCTCCTCAAGTGTACGAGACGCGTTTCATTGTGAAATGGGTGCTAGGGTCGGTTTTGTCTACCAGGCTTGGACATGTCCATTCTCTTCCTGCCGTTAAAACCTTGACATATTGGAAATGCGGAATAAAACTCGGCATGATGTCCCAGCCTTGACCAGACAGCAGTCTGGTACGTGTGCGGCGTCAGCACAAAGAAACAGCAAAAAACACGACCTGCATAACAACTAGACAAAAAGAGAGCCTCCGTTTAGGTTCCAATGGGGATAACACCTACTTTGCAGCGCGTGTCTTCACGTATAATAAGAGCCCTCCTTCGACTGTAAATGCACCACTGGCACTCATGGCATCTCATCGTCTCCACAGGACACTGCGCGTCGGACGGCTCCAACGGACTGTGACCATTTCCCCGGAGCTGTGGCTTAAGGTGAGCTCCCGTCACGTCGTGTCGCGGATAGGCGCTGACGATGCAGATCGTCGGCTATCTGAGCCCTCGAGACGTGTTACGGCTCGCGCGATCGTCCAAGGACCTCCGTTCCTTGTTTATGGACCCGTCGTCGAAGGCGATGTGGAAAGCGGCGCGTAAGTCAGTGGGTTGTCCTGATCCAGTTTCAGGATTCTCCGAACCGGCGTGGGCGAACCTGATGTTCTTCAATACATGTAGCGTGGGTCATTCGGGTGTTGTTCGCTGATCATTGGATTTTCTGACGCGTTTTTTAGTTTTGTTGTGAGAGAATAGTACGCAATGTTGATTTTTGTCTTCTTACTCGCATATGTGGAAATTGTGCTGGAGAAGAGTGAGTCCGATACCTCCCCCGGATACTGTGGAGCTGACGCCAGGGATAGGATTATGACTGATCCTTTGACAGGTTCTGATACAGATGTGGCCACCTTAATCATGACGCTAATTCCCACCCGATCGGTGTACGGTGAGTTTCATATCACCTGAGAAATTTCTTATCAAATGACTACCAATATCAGACCAAGTGTATTGCGTACGAAAAGAATTCGAGGCTGTCAAAGAGAAGTATCTCTCTCTCTCGAAGGACAAGATCGACGCTTATTGCGAAGAAAGGCGGGAATACGTCAAGGAAGTGACTAACGTACGTATCCCTGCATCACTCCATTGTTCCCGAAATCGTCACTCATATCAAATTAGTTCATAGCTATTGGAACCACATGGATTCAAATGAGGACAAAGGAACGCCAACAAGGGCTGGTACAAAAGAAAACGGACAGGGCATCTGTGTAAGTATCTTGACATCCTTGATCAAGTTCGTCGCCCTTAACATTGCCATTCAGCATCAAGAAGAACCTTGAAGCAGCCAAACTAGGAGCAGCATTTGACTCTCCGAAATTCTCTCGCGAGTTCCAAAACCACCCGCTTGTCAAGACAAGCCAAGATCTCACAGAACAAGGTATGGTCGCGCCTCCTAGTGTATCATATACTGAACGAGATCAACAGTCTGGTCCAACCTCGCTGATATCATGAAGCTAGCAAAACGTGTGATTAAAGAAGAAGACGAGCGCGAATCTCAGGCTTTGCTCCTCCAGACTCGCACCGCCCTCGCCACTGCCATCTTTCATGGACCCTTTCCATCCCTCTACCCCAAAATCCCATCCATCATCGACTTCCTGGCCTATGATCGTCTCAAGGTCATCCTCCACCTTCCCGGCATGATCAACGTCGACGAACATCTACTGAAGCTTATCGTAAATGTATTTCGCGAGCAATGGACGGCGAAAACACGCGATGAGCTTGTTCGGATCCTCGGATTGGACCAGACCCGCGCCCAACTCCAACTCGCTCGCAACGTCTTTAAATGCCACGGATGTTTCCCCTCGCGTACCCTTTTCTTCCCGGAGGTGTTGGAGCATCGATGTTGTTCGCATTTGCGGGGTACGGGACAGAGGTGTGTGTGGACAGCGGAGTATCTGTCCAGACACGAAACGTTGATGGCTTTCATGCCCACTTTTATACGGGCCATCCGGTTGTACCCGGAAATTGCGACTGTGGGAGATATTGCTGCGCTGAAGCAGCATTACCACTGCAAGATTTGCCGGAGGGCGGGTCGCTTCGATGGGGGGTTTAGGAACGTGTATGGATGGCGCTCCTTTGTATGTATCTTGGTCCTTCTATTTTTCTGCATGGCTAACTGTCACGTCGGTAGATCGAACATATGGGTGATAAGCATTCGTCGGCGGGACGCGGCCGACTTTCTTATCCAGAGGACTTTGAGATTATGCCTTCTGTGGAGGATCCTCTGAAGAGGTATGAGGCCAGTCGAGGCTGCCGTCTTTGCCAAGACCCAAAGTGTGTTTTAAACACGTGAATATTTCGAAAAGTGGGTGTTCTTCCCCAACCTATTTTACCACCGTACTTACTGGATATCTTAGCTTTTCTATCTTCACGTGGACTGTACAAATAGACTAAAAGAAAATGTATGCGACATATATGGCGCCATGTGCAAAATGTATCCCCCGAACCTGTTGTTTCTGTTCGAAAACGAGAGGGCTAAGTGCCAACCAATGACTGTTATAGGTTGGGTACTTGAGAGTATACACCGCGGTTTCTTGTAGCTCGGCGCTGACTGTATCGGCTGCGTTTCTGCAGAATTACATTCTATTCATGAAACCTTCAGGGCGCGGTAAGCATCATCGGAACCTATTCATAGTAAAGGACCTATGACACGCATACTACATGCATGTCGCTGCACGTTATAATTTCGCCTTCACGTCTCCTTCTGGTCCCACCCAGATGCTCATCAGGTGTCTATCCTTCAGAGGACAATCCCACCAACCCACAATAGTCCGCACGAGTTCAGCACGCAGACCCGTATAAACGTGGTCCGCATGTTCCATGAAATGCAAGGAATACGTCCTAGGGCTTCGCCTGCTCAGAATCTTCCGGTATAACACAGCGTTATATCTAAACCTTAGTTAGCAAGGCGATATGAAAGAGCATAAACATACATTTGTATCCCCTTATCCTTCAATCCATGAATGTAGATACTTAACCCATCAGGAGCCTGAAAGGCTAATTCACGGACCAGTGCGAGCCCCCTTCCTTGAGTTGGCTTTTCCGGTTCTAGCTGCTCCAGGATGCCGTGAGTATCACCTGGTTCTCCGGGATGCGGGGAGGAAATGAAGATAGCTGATGAAGCATGTGTAGGCATAGTGGTGAACAGGAATGGTTGGCACCAGGAAAACTGGTACTTAGAGAGATTTCAGGTTTCGGAATGGTGCCAGCAGACAGCATGCTTGATATCCTATAATGATGTAGCCTATACGTTTGGAGGGAACGAGATTCGGAGGTTAACATCCGAGGAGGATCTGCGTCTCGCGAAGTGTAAGCGGTGGTGGACAATCGCAGCGTTGTACATACTCAATCTATGGCACTCCTAGCAGTATGATCCCTTTGCAAGATCACATTCAAGGAAAGCTGTAATCCTGCAAGTAACGGAAAAGCTTCAATGTCCTAAATCAAAAGTTTCCGCTAGTGGGTCATTGAGAAGAATGAAACAAGCACACATACAACGCCCGAAGTCCTGAGTTTATTAAGGTCTATACTCTGTATGCAGTCTTCCAAGCTGCTAGTGTGCTCGGAAGCGCGTACTATACCCGACAAACGGCTTGCACAAAGGTGATATTAATCGTTGGTTAGCGTAAAACCGACTCATACGATCTGTTATAAAGACAGGTCGTTCAATAGATGTAACCGTTACTGGTAATGTACTAATAGTATCAAGTGAAGGGATATTCCCGGCACACAGCCACCGATCGCACTTCCTTTGTTCCACCATCATGCACCGTGCTGATATTGATATCATTTGGCGTTCCATGGCAGATATGAGGAACATATAGCAAAAATATTACGAGCTGCAGCACATCGGCTTGCTCCGACCTCTCGTTATCCTAACGCAATAACAAATCTTTTCGCGATGTCAAGCGTTAGGACTTGGCAAGGACCAGGGAGCAGGTGTGTCACCTCTTCTTTTCTGCAAGTGAGAAATTTCAAGTAGGAAGAAGAAAACTGGCGGAGCAGAGTATCGCAATATTTTCCTCTCCTTATCGCTTCATCGACGCCTACCGTGCAATTGAGCAATTGAATAGGTCCGTCGTTCGGACGAGACATCAGATCCTGTCCGTTGAGGAAGGATCTTCTGTTTATACCCACAACGCGCTCGATACCCCGCTATTTCATATCCATCTCGCAGGTAGGACCTGATATCACCCTACGATGACCCTAGTCGCTCACTTTTAACGAGCTGAACTACGAGCCGTCGTTACCCCACTCCCCGAATACTTCTTACCGCTGATTACCAGGTACATACACCCTTCTCGTTCTGTTCCTCTCACCCAAAGTCTACCTGTTGGCCCACATTTTGACGGGAGCTCATGGCGGTTTAAAGCTATTTCGAGGATCTTGGAGTGACTTCGCCTTCAAAGTCTCCAAACGTCGGTCTATAATGAAGTCCGATGCTTCTTCTCTTATTCACAAAACCATCATGGACTATCAACCTATACTTATGCAAACGGCTATAACATTCCGCTGGGTTCACTTCAATATTCTCGTATCTATGCCAAGCCTGACAAACGGTCAGTTCTACTCTGTCCTCTCTAGACCGTGACGGCTATCTCTGCCCTAACTACGGTTCTCGAACCTCCTCTACATGCGCGGTCAGGATAATGCCGTACTAATTCGCCTGATATATTTACTCCTTTGCTGCCATTCCTTTGTGCGAGGCCGAGAAGCGGGAGAAGATTCTAGGAGAAGGAACCATTGAGTTTGAAGAAAGAGAATGCAGCTTTGTTTGTTTTTACGAATACGATGTCTTTGCGGATCTGTAGGAGACCCGGAGCAGCCGAGACAACTATGTATGAAAGGTCTCGTATACACAATGTACATGCTCTTTACCTTGACAGGTGTCATGTCTTTCTCGTAACAACTAATCCCAGTGATTGTCAAATTAAGGAGATTCATCACCTGTCTAACATTCCGGATACTTTTGAGCTGGAGGTGTTGTGCACGAAGTCGCTGTCAGAATATTGAGGTCAAGACAAAAGAGCTCTCTTCCCAAATCAAATTATGCCTGTCAATTGTCATGGCCATTCACTCTTCAGATAAATCCGTGATCCTTGTATTTCTTGGAAAGGACTTTTAGGCTTAACTGAAGTTGCCATGTCTTGATCTCGGTTCAAATCCCAGTGAGTCCATAGTGTTACTTAAGACATGGTTTTTATTAACTCAGAGTCATGTAGTGTCTTCAGTGTACCAGTAACTTACTGGTCCAAAACTCTGATATCAAAACCTAGGTCTTAGTGCACAATTCTAGCATATTAATGATTGACTTTGGTTGAGTGAAAAGTGATCTTCACTTCTGTTGTCATCCACCTCTGTTTTTGTGGTATGTTCAGGTCAGAAAATTAGAATTAGACCAAGGCTTTACCAACAGAATAATTTGTCCCATGGTTTGAATATCTCTCTGTTTCATGACAGTATTTTTCCACTGAACATATTACTGAGACTCAGTGCAGTATTGTTACTATAGGGTTTCTGGACTCTGGATCAATGAGATTTTCCCTAGAAACTATGACTCAGTAAGAGTCATCTCATTTGATTCATGGACAGCCTATGTCAGACAAGCAAAAAATGATGAGTGTTGGGCTTTTCAACACAGGCACAGAAACACCACTTTTCTTCCTTCAAAAAGATTTCTCTATATTCAATGCATTAAAAAAACAGTTACTTGATAAAATGTAGATTGTGTCTTTTGATGAACAAGTCTTGTTATATCATATATATATGACAGTCAGTAACACTGTACTAAAATTTATGTATTTTTTGCAGAAAAAATGGTATAAATATTGATAAAATTTCACTGTATTTTGCAAATTTTGCATAATATTTTTAGTCAAAAACTATAAAAACTTTTTGCATATTTTCTATGTATTTGTGGGTAAAAATAATTAACTTTCATTCAGTGTAAAGACTCTTTAGTACAATCATTACCACATCACTTGATTGATTTTCAATCTTGGTTTAAATCTAAGAGGGTCCACTAGTCCTTTGATATAGTGGTCTCTTTTTCCATAAGCAGACAAACACAGAATTACATGCATTTCAATTTTGCTTAGGATTATATATGAAACTTCAGGAAGGTAAGTTACCATTTTTTACTGACCTCTATAGAGTATGGTAATTTACCATTACTTACCTCTCACATGCAGAATTGCAGATTCTTTTTTATGTTCATGTTTTTACAGGTTTTCCTTATCTCAGAAGCTATTATCAGTAAATTTTTGATGCCTATGAGTGTACTTTTTAAATAGAAAATATATGCAGATGTATGAATTATTCTGCTTAACTTGCAGTCACATAACAGATCAGTTACCTTGATGAAATCCCTCCAGTGAGAGGAGATAACTTACTGGTAATTAACCTTGGTGTATTGAAACCTAGGTTTCATACACTACTCTAGTCCAATCTCCTCTCACCCTTCTCCAAATGTGCTAAAGGAGTCAGCACCTCTAACAGTCTGATATAGAATACTAAGTACCAACCATTGACTGTTATATGGATTGTACTTGAGAGGATACTATTGGAATCTGCAAGAGAATTCAAGCAATTCAGCATTCTGGCATGCTGAGAGAAATTAAAGGAATTAGATAGAAATTACTAGAAAAGATGTAGTCTAGTATAAATATGAGAAGTCAATGGGAAAACTCCTGAGGAGTTTGTAATCAAAAGACTAAAGATCTTACAAGCATGTACTCTGGATACAGTCCAAATCTCAACAGATACATTGCAGTTTCTTGTAGCTCAGTGCTGACTGAATCAGCAACATGTCTGCAGAATCACTGCTGATTTATGATGCCTTCAGGGTGCAGTAAGCATCAGTGGATCATATTCACAGTAAAGAACTGTGTCAGATGACAACTAAATAATCACAAATATAATGCACTGCAACAGCTGGGGTCCAACACTAACTGAAGATAAAGCAGGAGGATGAGAGTAATGATATTTTGGGATAATAATAAAGAGAGAGGAGTTGATAGGCTACAACTGCCAGTGTGAATACTGAAGTGGTAGTCACACCAAAAGTTTATGAGTTTGATCAGTATATTGACCTTAGCTTGAGACTGGAGCATATCCCTGTATACTACTGACTTATATACTGTATAGAAAAGTCTTGGTGATCAGGCATGAAGTCTGTGTCTCAGTGCCTCAAACCCAGCCAAAACAGCTGGGCATGATCAGTCTCTGATCAAGCCACAAGCCAAGGGAGTTCCTAATTAAGCTATAAGCCAGGGCAGCCAGACATGATTTAGAGGCTAAAATCATAATAGACTGCCTATGACATGTGTACATGCATGCCACTTTATGCTATAATTTTACCTTCACATCTCTTTCCAGTCCACCCAGATACCCATTGAAAGTCTACCCTTCATGTGACAATCCCACCAATCCATAATGGTCTATATGACCTCTGCATGCTGACCCATATAGATCTGATCCATGTATTCCATGAAATGCAAGGAATACATCCCAGGGTGCCTGCTCAGAGTCTTCATGTACAGCATCATGTTATATTTAACACATACTTAGTGAGGCTTTATAAAAGAGCATACATGTACACTTGTATCCTTATTCTTTAATCAAATGAAGAAAATTGCTTTAACAGCTTCTTTAATCCATGAATATCTGTCACCTGGGGAAACCAGTCCTCAACTAAAGAGTTATTAAGTGCAGCATGAATATGGAAGTGGAATATGTGTCATTAGACATTCTGGTCAACTTTGAAAGGCTGTTTTTGCCTTCTGTGATCAGTGGCTGTGGGCAGGACAATCACCTTCATTACCAGATCTTGTGTGGGTACTAAAACCAACACCACTATCAACAGTTACATCCCTTGAATGACTGTTCTTTATATTTGACAAAAGCTAACTAATGTTTGATTGCAAGCTGCATCATGTAGGCTGTCTTTCCTTTACTAGCCCAAATGACTACATACCAAGTGCAGATCCAAATAAACTCAGGGCTTGTATGTGTCAGTGTGCTTGATTTGCATTCACAAAGACTCGCTGAATGGAAACTTTTGATTTGGGACCTCCAAACTGTCCTTCCTTATGCTCATACCGCTTATCTGATATTTTTGTACGTGTACAAGATGGTGAAACCTATGCCAATCTTTACCATCAATCCGCATGGACCAACCAAACCTATAATCGACTGCCCGCTTTACCGCCTGGAAAAACGTGTCGAAGATTAATGAATTTCTGCGAGTACTGTCATACTAGTTTCTATCATCGGTGTGGTCCATGAACCGTGATTACACTCGAGATGGTACGTTGATCTCTTCCCTCGCTCCCCGACTAGTAGTCTGACTGGTCGTAGAATCACTTCTAGTTATATCTAGCCTTGTTCTAGTATCATCATGTGTTGATTCGAGAGCATAGTATGCTCATACCGCGAGTGTGTACGCATTTTGCTCATTTCCTTATCCGCAAACATTCCGAACGCAGACGCATCAAACTATAGAAAAATGGACTTCTTTTCCTTTCTAAGACGGCTAAGCTTAAAAGGGGAACTAGGAATTGCAAACCTAGTATCTAACTGTAAAACTCTAAGCTTCTGGTCTGCAGTCTTTTTCTGACATTCTATATTGTTCTTGTCAGCTGAGTTCATCTCGAGGCCTTGACTCTTGTTATGCCTAGTCAGTTCTAAGGGTTGCATCTCCCGTGACGGACAGAATTCTGATTCCACAGAGAGTGCCGGCTGCAAACCTCGTGTAAAGCTTGGATTGATATCGTAGGGCACATTACCAGCTGGGCTGTGTAATTATGCACACCTACCTACCTACAGCTTGATCAACCTCGGCTCTTTTCCGCTGGCTATCAGACCGAGCAGCAAGTGATGCGTTAACGGACCCTGATGTCATGATGCTTAGATGTTACATGGACAAAGTAGCTGTTGAGTCGGACGGCATTCCGTTCCATTTTTGAAGATGTTCAATGCCGCTGACCTTCTGTTAACGTTAGGTATTCAATATTCTTTTTTCCGTGGCCTTTACAACGCTTTCTGATTTATGTTATTGGTTCTAAATAACCCTAAGCCGCCGCCGCGGACTTTGTTGAGGCCAGGCCAGGTGTTCTCCACGGTGCCTTGCAAACTAATTTTAAGCCTCCATTTCTCATTTACTAGTATGATCATGATCGATCAGTGACTGGGGGGTAACAAATTTATTTGACAAGAATAGAGACACGGGCTTAAGTGAGCCAATTGAAAGGCTCCTGTTCAGTTTTCTGATACACGCATTTCATCTAACTAGCGCAAGAGCGGCAGTTGTGCAATCAGAACGGCAGAAACTCAAAGAAGATCGATTCGTCCCACAATCACTCCTCGGGAGTGATTCGCGGCATGGCTTTCCACCACCATCACACGTTAATGAATTTAAATACTTTCACAATTATGGCCTCACCTCTGCCGTCGTTACTCAATTTCTTGGTTAGGTCGGATTTCGAGAAGCGCCGCGGGAGTGTTAATGTATGATGGAGCATACCATATCCGATCATTTCTTTCCCTTTTTGTTTTCTAGGACATCTCCGAATTGAAGTGAGTCCCTTGCAGGGCATGAATGGGACTTCTCTTCGCTCGCTCGCTCGCCATGGCTGAGCAACATACATATTAGGCCCATGTAACTGTAATTGCTACGTCAGAGATCGTTGAATTGAAAGACAGTTGGTTCGAGTGGTGGTGAGTATGGACCGCCGCCGCCGCCAAAGGAAAAAAAAAACAGTCGGTTACTAATAAACAAGCCGGATTATTGCAAGGCCGACTTGGCGTGAATAAGCACCGGATGGCAAACTTAGATTCTCAATGCCGGGAAAAGCACAGCTTTACTATGTGTCTGGGGTCTTCCGTGGCGCTCGGAATGCTTTGAGGCAACTAGCTATTTGGAGTACGATCACTTGCTGCTTGGCCTCCGACCATCACCACCCGTTAATGGATTTAAATACTTTAACAACTATGGCCTCACCCTCTGCCGTCGTCACTCATTATGTTTTCTGACAGCCCAGAATATATTCGACGTGCTAATACCCCCTTCCTCCCACCAACGATAAACATGGCAGAACTGCGCACTGCTATCCCGCTGCACCTTCTCCGAAAATCGACGACCAAAGGGTTAGCCTACGTTTTTCAGGATGTTTTGTGTGCATATTTTTTGTATTGCTTGACGCCATACATCCCTCTTGCTCCTGCCCTCCTTCGTCTTCCCCTCTGGGTAGCATATTGGTGGTGCCAAGGAATTGTGCTCACTGGCTGGTGGTGTCTTGGACACGAGGCCGGGCACAAGACCATATCGCAGTACTCATGGGTAAACCATGTTGTCGGCTATATCCTTCACACGGCGATATTAACACCTTATTTTGCGTGGAGGGTGACACACCGGAATCACCACAAGGCCACCATGAGCGTCGAGCGAGACGAGAACTACGTACCTCGAACGCGCTCGGAGTACGGTCTTTGGGACGAGAAGGAAGACGAGCGGCTCGGTCTGCTACGCGATGAGGAGGGACTCCCAGGTTGCCGGAAAGGCTTGGACCCTCACGACGTGTTTTCGGACGCGCCTCTGTACGTCCTTTTGCGCATGCTCATCATGCAGGCCACTGGATGGCCATTATATCTCCTCACCGACGCCACGGGGAACCCGCGATATCCCTTGGGAACGAATGTTTGTCCATTATTCAATTTTCTTCCGAGTCCTTCTGACGCTGCATGTAGCATTTTTCGCCGTCTTCGGCTCTCTTTAAACCGCGTCACCGCAGACAAATCATCGCTTCGAACGCTGGGCTGTGTGTTGCTCTTGCTCTCTTTTTGTGGTGGGCTAGTCAGACTAGCCTAGCTCATGTAGGGCGGGTGTATGGCGTTCCATACATCCTCGCCAATCATTGGATCATCATGATCACTTATATCCAACACACCGACCCGACAATGCCGCATTATCGTTCTCAGTCATGGAGCTTCGTACGCGGTGCGCTGGGGACCGTCGATAGACCGGTTCTTGGATGGGTAGGAAGGATATTCTTGCACCATGTCAGCCATGACCACGTATGTTCGACTCCATCAAAGACGCTTTCCTATTCCTGATCATTGTTCGCAGGTCGCACACCATCTTTTCCCTTCAATACCGTTCTACAACCAACCAGAAGTGACGAAGATTATTCGGCCACTTTTGGGAGATGCGTATAATTGTGATAGTACCGTGAGCCCGCTTTGTTCCGTCGAGAAACCTTTACTGAAAATATTTTAGAACAGTTTCCGAGCGCTCTATCGTACGTCCACACAGTGTTGCTTCATTGAAGACGAAGGCGATATCGTGTTCTACAAAAATAGAGATGGCAAGGCCGCGAGGTTTCTGGCTGATGAGGTCGTTCAACCTTCGAAAATCGTCATATAACGGCTTTGCACCCAGTTAATTTGACAACCTACGTTCTATGCCACGTCCAATTCTTATACGTCTTTTAAGCTATCCTGTTCTAGCCTCAGTCCTCCGTGGCTGGCTTAGTTTTAGAGAAGGGTCTATCATTCATCCAGGCTTTCCGGTTCCGAGTCCTATGTCTGTAGGTAACTAGGTCATTATGCTACTTGAACTTTACCGTGGGAAAATCTATTCGTCGAGCCTCTTTGCCTTGGCCATCGCCGTCGGACCGAGCCAGACATTGCCGAAGATGTTCGCTATCCACCATATACCATATTTTGCTCTCTGCGATTGGTGGCTGTGGGCGGGACAACCACCTTCATCACCGGACCTTATGCTGGTACCAACACCAACATCATTACCAACAATTACATCCCTCGAACGACTTGGTTCTTTATATTTGTCGAGTCAAGTTTACTAAAACTAACTGATGGTTGATGGAAACATTTGATTTATGACCTCCAAACTGTCTCATTTTCCTGAATAAGAACTCTCAAAGGCCTCATATAGTCATGGGCTTGTAATAGACTGAAATCATACAACCCTGCTTAGACTTTGCAAAGCACAGATCCTCCTTGGATACAAGATTATGGGATATCAAGTGTGATGCTGGTTCTGAACCCTCAGGCTGAATTTCTCCAAGTACCCAGTTTCTTGTTGGCAATTACCCTTTGCCACCATGCCTACAAACATACATTCTATGACTGCAAATATTCACTGGGTGGATGTATTGATAGAAGGATATAAGTAATATTCTCAGTGGGGCACAGTGTAGGCAAAATGACTGAGGTATATGGGTATCTATGGCCAGGCTATATAGGTGATCGAGTAATGACAGGAGGTGTGTACATATATGGTAAGTAGGAACGAGTGACGATCGAAAAGAGAAGATAAGGGTATACACACGGATATCCTCCAACAGGACGCTCCTTTCCTACCATTCTTCCATGTTCCGTGCAAGGACCTTGCACCTAATGAAGGAAGAATGTAAAGTTGGAAGGTGAGGGTTGGAAGTTTGAAGATGGTACTGCCGGCCATTATGTACAAAGGCCTCGTTGAATACAAACATGTTTTTTTTGATCTCAACAAGTAATTATCTCCCAAAGGGGGATTCAACGTTTCGAGCACGAAACTTCAGGTCGAGGTAAAAAGACTGGGGGCTCGAACTCGACTCGGTTCCATTCAGCTCCAGTACGATCTATTTGTTTTTGAATCGGCCATTAACCTACACGGTGCCGGATCCATTGACAATGAATTTAAAGTATTCGTTAGTGCTCGCAGTCTTCCGCCTACTTTTGTCATGTCATTTCAGTTTCCTCGCTTCTGATCTGAAAGGTAAAAAAAAATTAGTGCCTCAGAGTTCTATCTGCTATATAAACCCTTTCGGATTCTCACCGAGATCACAGCGTACTAGTCTTTACCTTACGCTAAAGGGCCCTTGCGCAGTGCTCAACAATACGTCAGGAAAAGGTGGAGTGTATGCTGAGTCGGAGAACCATCCTTAAGAGGAAAAAACATCTTGAGAGAACGAAGCTGACCTTGTAACTGTAGGCAAGAGCGCTGTCGCACCCTCCCACAATGAATCTCACCAACAAAAAAGCCCCGCATGCTCATAGTTTGGGGGGTGACTCCTGATACGGGCTCAGTCTATGAGTAATTGTTAGCCCATTCCTGCTGCGGACGCCAGAATTTCTTACCCAGGACATGGTGGGCATATTACTGTGAGCTAGCCCTTACAAACTGGGTCAATAAAAACGGAATTCCTCAGTCATTGACGTGCATGGACCTCCTTGGATTCGAACCGAGATCAAGATATTGCGGCTGCCATTAAGCCAATGGGTCTCTTCCAGCTGATGGGCCAACACATACACAGTACTGTATCGACCTCGCGACCAACTTGTGTCCAGCTGCAGCCTTCTAATGAAATAGAGGGGAAAGAAATAATGAGATCACGGAGACGCGAACTTTGGCTTTCTCGGTGTTGGACACCGTGACGATGGTGAGCAGATCACTTCAGAAGGGCGTTTCCCTTGACAATTTCATCGTCACAAAGATAGAGCCACAAAGGCGTTTCAAGACGCGACATGATGATGTATTATTCAGAACTTGGACGTGGCTATATGCGTGCTTTAAGCGACATAGGGAATGAGGGGGAAGTATTGAAAGGAAAAAGTGAGAAATCACAACGTGATGATGTACCCCAATACCGCAGCCAACGCTCCGGCGATATCCATATTGAAGCCTGAACGAGCACTGGTAGCAGCGTTGAAGGACTGCCCAAGGTGCTTGCTTGGAGCCGAAGCAGAGGAAGACGTGGCGGAGGATGTACTACTATGGGTGGTAATGGTACCGGAGTGAGTAACGCCCAAGCTGGAGCTCGACGAGCTGTTCGTGCTGTAAGGAGGTAAACGCGAGGAAGGAAGAGATAAAGCTGAACAACTCACGTAGAGGCCATCGTGCTGGCGCTCGCACTCGTAGTAGTCGATCCTGACGCGCCTGTCGAGCTCTTCCCAGTCGTCGTGGTCGACGGAACACTCGCAACCGCAAACTGTCCCGACTCGGTATATACGTCGTTGATATCCCACGGGTTCACCAGCTGGAGCGTGAATCCATCCCTACAGCATCCCGTCAGCATCATATGCCTTTGGTGAACGATCGAAGCACTCGCCCAGGCAAGATCGCCGGCAAAAGAATTGTCAGTTCCGAATCTCCATTGCCGGAATTGACGTTATTCGCAATGGCGTACTGGTGGTTGAAGGCGGCATTGACGAGCTCGACGGTGAAGTTTGGTACGTCGCCGTATACGGCGTTCCATCTGATGATGAATGTCGAGGCCGAGACGATTGGTTGGTCGGGGGTATAGATGGTGAGGGCGACCGCGACTGCGGGCAGGAGGAGGATGAAAAGAAGGGCGAGCATTATTGGAGATGAAAGTAAGAGGAAGAGAAGGAGAGAGCGACTGACAGCCTACTTCTTCAACAGTTACCACGTGAAGAGATCGGGCAGCGATCTGAAACTACAGAGTAGGACCTCGTCGAGCGCATAGAGTGTCTGGAGTACAGTCGGCATTCCATGACACCCCGCTAGCCGTCGCTTGGAAAATTTGCTGTCTTCAAACAAATAGTAGTCATCGGAATGAGACCAACAAGAGATCCTGGAAAAGTGATGTAGCCCGCCTACAGATCAGAGGACAATAATGATAAGTTCCGTGGATAAAAACGAAGTAAGCGGTCAGTGGGGAAGAGACGGGAAATTCGGGCCGGATCAAGAACGGGGCTGAAATGACCAGTCTGGGACACTTTCCGAGTGCGTCCAGTTCCGGCAGGAGAATTATGTCCAGATAATTAAGGAAATGCCTTTATGCCTTCTATGTGTTCTGTGTGTTCTGTGTGTATGTTGTCGTTGTCGAGACGAGAAGGTCTCCTCCAGGATCATCATGGTAAGATGTACCATATCAAGGGGGGGAATGAATCTGATATGGACTGCGAGACTGGGACATCAGCCTTTAGCGATTGTAAGAGCTGGTCTGCCTGGGTAGGATTGTCTTTGATGAGACTTTGTAGTTCTAGGGCCGAAATTTATCCTTCAAATGGAACAATACCCAACTGCTAATCCCCAAGGAGATAAGGAGCACTGGGACAATCATCTGCCAACTTTGACCTGCCCAGCCCCTAGATTTTGGATTCGAAACAGGCCATTACAATTGGAAGGTTCAAGTATCAGATTCAGACCATCATCACAGATTGTGAGTGATAATTCCTGTCTTTTCATCTCAAATCAGCTTTAACATCTGTTTAGGTTCTTCTTTGCTCTGATTTTTCCCAGCTTACCCACTGGCAGGAGATTCACATGTGCTGCATGGTGCATTCAGTACTCAAATGAAGGCCAAGTTGCCATACCATGTCTACATGAAACACTCCAGTTCACATTGCTTGCTTCTCATGTATGGTGCTATCAGTGCCATCAAGCACACTTTCCAAAATATTAGGCTCTGGCCACTCTGCTAGCATGGCCCTAAACATCATGGAACATCTCCCATAGTCCCTATATGAAACCTATGCAAAACTTTCTTATACTATGTTCCAGCTGGCCTTCAGTGTCTCTAACCATCCCACAGGCAGAATGCCAATATCTATATGAGTTTCCTCAAAAGTCTTGATTCCAAGTCCACACCCACTAGCAGGAGAGCAAACCTCCATTTCTGGTATCTAGGGACATTCACATCCAGGGAAGTCAATGCCTGAGAAGAAGCTCACCTTAGTTTGTCACAGAATCTCTTTTGCAATAATTCAACAGTGTTCAATCTTGTTGGTAGATTCTTCATGGCATCCTTAGATACATCTTTTCTATCATACAAACTATAGAAATGGTATCATTCATAATAGGAAACCTTAGCCACAAGGACTATCTCTTTCTGAAATAACTCACTCTAAGACACCCTATAGACTCATTTTGCTTTAATTTTTGGTATTGGTCTTTCAACTTGCTTGTATTTCAAATACACATGTCATACAACTTTTTTAAGACCAGAGAGAACATTTCAAATCACTCTGCATATAGCAACAACAAATGTTGGAGGAGGATGCTCAAGACCTCTGTGTCATGGAATATTTAAAGGCACATGATATTAATTTAGTGATTGGCCACTCTTGTGGGGCTGTACTCACAGTCCAGTGCTTGTGTATGACTGAAAATGCAAAAAAAGATTTTGGGATTTGTTAATCTGTCAGAGATGCTTTGTATACAGGTGAGCATTTCACCATCCTCATCTCAAACCAATGTTATATCCATCTTTTTTTAGAATGACTTTAATACAGTGGTTTCTTGAGTTCTCTCATTTATACTAACATTTAGGTTGAGTGTTTGGTGAAGGCACATTGATTAAAAACATTCATGCCTAAGGATATCACATTCTGGACAGCAAGACCCACAAGGCAAAGTACTATTATAAAGGCATGGATAATTATGCCAACTTTGATGTCTCACTGTCAGTTGGAGATGGATTTTTTTGGGCTGCCAATATTCTGATAATCCATGGCCTTGTGGACAGGAATATGCCAGTGTGTTTCATGCTCTTTTGAGTCATTCAACAAGCATTCATTGATGAATATTTTAGCTATACCTCATTATATGTGAATATCTTGAGTAAATGAAACTCTGGAATGCACTCCTTGCATCTCATGATGCATGCAGACTACTTTTATACTGGGTGGTATACAGAGGTCATACAAACCATCTTAGATTAGTGAGATACTCACTTGAAGAGAAACTCCAGTCAGGAATTTGGACTGAGACAGTGATGAATCTAAAGACTTCTATGGATGGCTGCCACAAAATCTAAGAGCAAGTGCTAATCAACACAGAATCCAAAGGCTGATTCATATGAGTCTAGTCATGCACCTCCATGCAGTGACTAATGCATTCTGTGAGCTAACTTTTATATCACTTTGTAAAGTAAGTACTTGTAAGCTGCATTGGTCTTTGTCATGTAGATTCATACTACTAGCAAAGTTCTTTGAGCATTCTTACTCTTTTCTTACTAACTCTTAGTCAAGCACAGTAAGTACCTTTAGTAATAACTATTGCACTACTTGGTGAATGAAGTCAGAGTCTTAGTAAGTTATTACTGCACTGCATGACTATAATATTGAATTTTTCATACAGTGAAGATCCTTGTCTAAATCTATTAGAGTGTCATTGAGACTTTGACACTGTGGGTGGTTTAAAAGTATATTCAGAGAGCATCAGGTTCAAAGTTTGAAAAGCCATCTTTGAAGACTTTTCAGAGCCCTTCACCTCATGAGTTCAAGTAAATTCAGTGAACAAAAGGCTGGAAAATGATGTGGCATACATCTATTGAGTTTGAACTGACTATATGAATCATATAGTAATGACCACTTTACCAGAAAGTTTCTATCTTAGAGATTCTTACTCCTTATTTACTTGGAAGACTCTAGCAAAAGATAATTCAGGCATTCAGTGAAAACCTAACAGTAGAACAAGGACTCCAAAAGAAACAAGTATGATGATTATGCACATGCTAGTGAGAATTTGAACTGTTGAAATTGAACTAACATCCCAAACTCACATTTGCACCAGACATTTGGTGAGTAACAAATATTTTCACAGAATGTTAATGAAATAAGATGGTTCAAAGTGAGGAGCTTGGACTCAGTATTATCACCACTCAGCATATTCAAACACACAGAGCAGAGGCTAATAATGATAAGTGCCATATGTTAAAAACAAAGTAAGCTGCCAATTATTATTTAATGAGAAAGAGATGAGCAATTCACCAGATTCAGAATCATTGATCAATCCAAAGATTCATCAGAAGTTGAAACTACCTGATGGTTGAGCTGCACTATAAACAATGCTTTCTTTCATTGAAGTTTCACATCTAAACAGATGCAATCATTCTGGTGCAATAGAAGGTCATTATTGATTAAAAAGTACAACAAAGTATTCTTGACTGTCTGAGTTCAGTTTTGCATAAATTTGGGATAATTTCTTGTTCAAGTTAATGTTAGAAAAAATTGCAACAAAATACTCAAGATAGTCTAGATAAAACATTCAATTTATGAGAATAGATGCATCAAAATGTGAACAACATAGTGGACCCTAGAATCGAACCAAGATCATAAACCCACATTTATAATTGCACTAATGTATCCTAGCAGCAAGTGATTTGAAAGAAGAATCATACATCACAGTATAACCCAAACTAGATCCTATATTTATAGTCATACAACCATATTATGCTATAGATTTTACAGGCCACACAAGTGCCATGTGCTAGCAGTCAGAGGCTCTGACAGTGTCTGCGATTCACATATCTGATCATCTGCGCCGGAGATACTCTCTCGAGGTCATGCTCTACATGCAACCTTTCGTCATGGTCCATTTGCTATTGTTGTGGAAGGAGAACTTTGAACGTCACCCTTGGGTCACGAACTTCTCGGAATAGACAAGGTGTCAACGAGGGGGGGCTTTCAATTTTCTGATCCGGTGAAGTGGGACATGGAGCAGAACGCGACGGACATAGAACTTGAAGTTTTTCGCGAAGTCAGGACGTTTCTCTTCGATCCACTGAGATCATGTCTTTCCTTACCTCTTATTAGCAAAATACCATGGTCGTCTGAGGAAGAGCGGCTGCCTTACCTTGACTTCTCTGAGTGTACATGTGGTGAATGCACCTCCATATATTCTTCCTTTTCTTCGTCACTAGAGACATTTCATCAGTGGTTTGGCGAATTGACTTTAAGTCAGTTTATGTTTTATCCCGTCCTGGATGAACAACGGGCGGGGCCGGTCATGCTGGAAGTGTGCCGAAGAATGGGAATCGACGTAGGCGTTGACATCTTGGATGATGAGCTTGGTGGCATTGGCCATCATAGGAGATGCCACACCGGAATCGGAGACAACGCGCTTGTCTGTGACGACCAGCGTATACCTTCCTGTTCCTCCGGTAGATTCTTGGCTGAGATACGTAGTGAACAGACCATGGGCTGACGATCGAGAGGAATATTGTGATGAGGAGAGTCCGGTAGACCATGTTCTCTTTGTCACAGGAGGATGGTTGTATGACCTAGTGGGGACTGATGGCGTTACGCTCCTCCATTCATGGGAAGATGTCTCTACTTCCTATCTCACCCTCTTTCCTGGAAAATATTCTGCTGTCTGTATGCCTAGCTTCAGGCCTGATTTTCCTGGATGGCTTCCTCAACGGCACGACAATGAAGAACCACAGACAATTGACACCATGCTAGTCAATGAGGATGGCGATCAAGGACACACGTGTTATATTCCTCAGCAATTTCAAGAGCGATGGTTTTCCTCTTCTATCGGTTTTAGATAAAGGATCAACCGCGCCACGTGCCGGTGCTGTTGCGGCTTTTATACAAGTGCGCGTGGTAGGGGAGGGTTGTCGAAACGGCTTATTGTCTAGTTGTGAAGAGTGGAAGTGCATTTGAGCATCGTGAGCGATGGGGACGCATGACGCATTGCGCTCCCACCTCGTATGAAACCTTAGAACGTGTTCTCCCCCGACGACTCGGAACTATCAATGAGTGTCGATGTCAATATTTAGGAATTAGAAACGTCGACAGCAGGTCAGGAAGCACAGTTTTTGAGAAGGAGAATGCAGGTCATTTCTGATAGGGTGGTGAAGCTCCTCTGGAGAGAAACAGGGCATATATAGTTCGGTGCGGTGCTAGACATGGCCATATCGATCCTGTTATTGTGTTGGCCGCATCGTTGAAGAAAAAGGTGTACGTTATCCATCGCAGGTGAGCTTGGTACAACTGGTTTTGAAAACATTCTGACTATGAAACCGGCGAATTCTGGGACTGTGCAGTTTCTCGGATGCAGGAATTTGATTGTACTGTTGGGTTGGCGGAGGATATCAAAGTTGGGACACTCTGTCATGACTGTCTTGTATCCTAATTGACCTTTCTTGTTCTTTTACCTCTCCTCATACTTGCAAAATACACGGGAGAATTAACATATACCGAACGAAGATTTCAAGGGGCCAGCAGCAAAAAAGGGACATCTAGATTGTTGGTCGCTCGCTCCGTCTCTAGAGATCATCGTGCAATATTCACAACTGAAATGAAACTCGTCACAAAATACCCTTCATGTATTATAATCTATGATCGGAAGATCTAGCCTACGACTGCTTGGGACTTGGCAGACAGTTCCACATTTTTCCCTCCTTCAGAAATCCACCTCATCCTCAAGAGTCAACGTTTCTGACCGAAGAAAATGAGGCAACGGCGACGTGGACGTTGCAGCATCAATATACGTTCGCTCCGATTCCGGCTCTGATTCATTCTTCCCTTCCACCACCATGACCAAACTTGGAGCCTCAAAGATCTGTTTACTGTACACCAGTGTTAGCGTACGTGAAGCTACTAAGCACCACATGACTAAAGTCGCGACCGCATACACCGCTCCCCAGACCCGAAAGAACGGAGAGTCCAAACTTTTCGCAAGGCTCAGAGTAAGGTTAGCGTACACGCCCTGAACACCGAGTTGGAGCCATGGAACAAAGACGATCAGACAAAGCACACCACTTACGTTCGGGAAAATGATGCCCCATATTTCCAATTTGAAGGGAACGCGGGTTTGGCGGAGGACGGTATACATACCGAGGATTGCGAAGAAGAGCCACATGGATTCGAGCGACCACAGGGCGACGGCGGCGGTGGTGCACAGGACGTTTACCGATTCGCCCGTCGTTCCAGCAGTCAAGAGTTCGGAGGACCCGTACGGGAGCGGGAGCACGGTTCGGAAGAAATGTCCCAGGAGAAGGATGGTGTATCCTGCCCGACCTGTCGGTCCGAGAGGGAGGAATACGGAGTATACACCAGTACCTGACGGGAGGCCACGGACAATGAGGCGGAGGAGGTATACTGTTAAAATCATCAAATTGACCGAAAGACCAATAGATACCATGAATACGGAAAACGTGGCGGTGATTAGCGCGTGGTTAAGGGAGTAGTTGTATAGCGAGGAGGATAAAACGGCGCCGCCTGAGGATGTGACAATCAGACTTATGACTGGCAGTAGCCAAGCCGATGTCATCGTCTGCATTGTGGGATGTTTATGCGCTATCATCCTAGAGATACCAGATCAGAACCCGTTAATTAGCTACACCGATTTCTGAGGAACGCTTACATCCCATGAAGCGTACCAAAAAAACACAGAAAAGAACCTGCAACATCCAACCACCAAAATGCCCAGATGACATACAGAAATGGCTTGTCACCAAAACTATAGTCCTCATGAATAAGACTGACCGCAATAGCGAGGAGAGTGATCGCGCCTGTCGGGAAAGCACAGATGAAGAGCCTCTCGACGGGATGCCGACACAGGATGCCCCATAGTTCCGGGAACATGATGAAACGAACGACGGAAATAACGGTGAAGAGGATATATAGACAGAAATTGATGAAGAAAAACACGAGGGTGGCGATCCTCATTCCCGGGGATCCCGATCCATAGGGAAAGTCGTGGAAGAGGATGCTGAGGATCCCAGTGCTCATGTTCACAGTGAACCATGCCGGAGAGAAATGTCTAGAACAAAACGTTTAGTCAAATTGAGATGGTCGCCGGGACCGATGGGATAATGAAACCGAGCGCACCTAATGACATCTTTGAAGGTTTTGTTAGAAGGATCTGCCATGAAGTCTGGAGTATGATCGAAGGGGAGCGGGGATCATCGTTTCTGCCAGGGCAGATTTATATCTGAGGAGAAAACTCTTTTAATCGTGGTATCGCCCCGGTATTTAGTACTGCTTACCTGGTTGTTTTTTTTTTCATGGAATAAGGAACGGCCGCTTTTTAAACCTACAACATTATGAGCCTGGGAACGGTCCGTTAGTGCGCAAATTAAACTGTACACAGCCACAATTCAAAGAGAACTCACGAGTCAGTGTCGCAACAACTTTCCATTAGTAAAGAAGCTCCACACTGGTGTCTATTCTTCATCTGAAGGTAGAGGATGGGTGCCTGGGCGCGCGTCGGATCAGGTCTCGTTGAACTGCCCTACTTGCACGGACGGTGGCGTTCTGGGCAGACCAGGGCGTCTGCCGTCGGATCTACTGGTCTCGTGATATATGCCTGCCAGACGCCGGTACTTGGGCCCTATGGTGTGGCGTTGAGTCCAAATTGACCTGGAGATGGACAGAAAAACGTACGGATTTTCCAGAAGATGGCACAGTCATTGATCTCCGAACGGACCCCGGTTTCTACTATCAACGGTTAAAGGAAATGTAGGTACACCGTTGATAGTGATCCCGCGTTTGCTGAATGGTGCATTCAGTTGGGCAGCAAAACAGAGACGCTCTCGAACACGGTTGACCTGATGGCAGTCTAAAGAATCATGAAATGCCAAATAACTGTACTAGTCGATTCAAATCTCCAAATGGATGCGGTCCTTGAGTGGTCATTGATGCGCGCCATTGAAAGCGGATGCAGTACCACCCACCACGACACAGATGCACCGAATCTGGTTTCGAGCAAAAAAAGAGGAGTTTCTTGGACATAAAAGAAAAGCGCGAGCTCTCATTCCGGTGTTTAAAAATTTCTACAAGGCAAGGACACGAAGCTTCTCCTTCCCGAGGGTTCGTGGAACAACCCTATGTGCATTGCCTACGAGCCATATACATGGAAAGCTCTATACATGCACCGAAGCCTGGACTCAATTGTGAGACGCTAGTGATAGAAAAAAACAGAGACAACGCACCCGTCCTCTAATTACAAAGGCGCCTAACCAAACGAACCTGTGACGATCGGAACGTATATATCAAAATCTGCCTTCGGTGCCCACACATCCGCTTGGGTCTACACTTTTCGTCAAATATTGGCATTCAGCGCGACAAAATATACGTACCAATAATTTGTGTGTGACCAGTTGTTCCTCCGCTCGTAATTGAAGAAGGAAAAGATCAGTACTTTGGACCCAGGAGTGGGGTAAAGCACACAGACGTTTAATCCCTAATGACGGTCGTCTCCGGCATTGACAAAATATTTTCGCCCACATCCTCCATCTTCATACCAGGCACAGCGGAAGGTGAAACAGATGTCCAGAGCAGAGTGCGCTGAGGGTATAAGCGAGCAAGGGTGCAGGGAGTATGGCCTCCGCCTTTTATGGAACGTCTTGCTATTTCGTCCTCTTCATCGGCTCTATTAGTCATTAGCCAGAAAAAAAGTGAGCCGTACGCACTTCACATCCGCCATCGACATCCCTATGGGCACAAGACCAACTCGTCGCAGTCACCATCGTAGCTTTGCATAAGGGTCGTTCGTCGTTATGCTGAGGGCCTACGTACTCCCATGCCGTGGCTTAGATCCGTTTCCCATCTGACAAGAACTAGAAAGGCCGGAAAAGGTAGCAGAGCATTCGAATAGGCGCTAAAAATTGAATATATGCGCCCCATAACGAGGGAATTTGGTATAGAACTCACGGAGGAAACCCTTCTATGCTCCCATAATCCATCCACCACGACACTGAAAGTGCCTTTTGTTCGCCTTCCGTGCACTGTACCGTATATATTTGCGAGAAGGGGTCCAAGTGCTAATGGCTTCGAGGCAGAACCCATCCACTATCAGTCGAATCCCTTTTTCTTGGTTCCTACTACGGTGTTATGGATCGTTACACGGTACGGCTGCATCGGATTCCATCATGTGTCATCATTTTGATGATCCTTGGGATGGTAGAGGAGAAGCTGATGAGCGGATACAGTCTGCGCCCAGGAAGAAAGTCGAATTCCAGTCATTAAACTTCATCACATATGTTAGTCATCAGTAGCATAGATACAGCCGAGTTATACGCACTTAGTCGCATCCAAGTGTCCACGTGGCCGTCTACGGCAAGTGCCCACTGCCTTACTTCCAGACTCTTGGCGGCCGAATTCTCAAAAAAAAAAAGTGCACGACTCTTCAGGGCTATGTCTTATTCAATTATACTAAACAGTCAGGAAAAATGTATTCACATCCACGCTAATGAGCTACAGGGATTCGAACCCTTCACCAGGCTAAAGTTTATAAAATCAGCTGCACCAAACTGCTCAGAAATATGAACAGGTATTTCCTTCAACAGTGCCTTTGTTGCAGTATCACTAAAGAAAACAAATCATATCATGATATTGAATGACAGCACAGGAACGAACGAATGGTTATGAGACTCAGCAATGCCTGAGCTCTGCAGGTATTGTACAGCGCAGAGATCAAGAAAACGAACTTTTATGCAACAGCGACACTCTAACAGAGGGCTCGGAAAAGAGTAATCACTGGTATTAGCTGCAAATAAAAACGTAGAAATATCGATAGATATGTAAGAAATCTTTATCATTAGTGGAATTTGGAAAGTTAAATATTGCAACGCAGCTAGGATAATGTGGGGATCTTGACAAGATAGGCAAAAAGGGACAATCACAGCAGCAGAAAACAGCATGAGAAGGAGAAAGGCAAGCCCAGAAAGCGGTCATCCTCGGACCGGTGATTGACAAAGTGGAAGAAGGGACCCATCTGGATCTACACTTCAACAGAGTCACATGGACATATGCCACCGTTTGCTTGCTCCAGCACCTTCTATCCCTAAGAACTGTCTTCCTGCTCTTACCCTTCAATACGAACCTCATGGCAATATATTATCACCTTGAACGAGGAGAAAAAAGCAGAGGAGGAGGAGCTGCTACACATGCATTTCAAGCAGGATTGAGCGCTTCAGCCGGTGAAAATTGTATGACTCGTGCGTATTTTTTTTTTTTGCTTTTTCTCACGTATTCACGGTTCTTATCGATTTTCCAGCGCCAAGACATATCTCTTTGAGAAAGACAGCTATACCCTAGAAAATCAGATCGTGCGGTGCTTGGCGCAGGACCACGGGCGTCGTGCCAATGGACGACGAGCAATCGATAGCCCTCAACGCTCACTTTCACCCCGACGCCCGTTCCGGCCGATTGCGACTTTTACATTCTTGCTAGTAGCCTCCATAGCGACCATGTGGGGCCCTCAGCGAGGCACGACAGCATCGCTCTAAATGATGGGGCGTCTCCTCTGCATTCTGGTCAATAAAGATGTTCTACATGAAGCGCAGAAAGAGAGGGGCGTGGCTTTGGGTCGGGAAAAGGTTGCTCTGCGTGTCTACAGGGAAAAAAAAAAAAAAGACGAGCGATGCAGGCCATAGTATGAATCTGTGAGTATAATTTCATTCTCTCTGCCTTCGTCATGTTCATTAGTTACACTAGTTACGTACGCCGGTGCTTGACCTTATCGCATCGCAGAAACTACGGCTGGATGACGAGGACGTCTCAAGCACATGCTTGACGATGGGCGATGGCCATTGGCTTATTCAAGGCTAGTACCTGCACCTTTAGTCCGAGGCAACACATCCCGCCTTCCTGTATTTTTCTCCAGCATCTCCCCACCATTTAGGGCGCCAGTCTCAGCTGTTCCTTTTTTCCTTGATGCAAACGTGGACGTGAGGTCAGCTGCGAAAGATCTTTAGGTCCGGATGACGGCACCGTGATGAAGGCACCGTCCCCGTCCATTATCAGCTGCTCCCCAACGTCTGTTCGCAGGTCGTATTTGGCAGAATTTGATTCGGCGGATTTTGGACTTAAGACTTCGAAGTTCGTGCTGTCTGGATGGTAGTCTTTATCCATTTCTGCTTGAAGCCATGGCTGGATCGTGGCGCCGTTTTGGCTTTTACCAATAATCATGATCGCCACCATTGTTGTATTACGTTCCAGCCGCACTGAGTAATAAGGGGATCAGATGATTACTGGTACTAGCCATGTTGCTCTGAAGTGCATAGGGTCTCGTCATCCCTGCAACATGACAACATCGTCCCTATCCTGGCTCTCGCTCTGAAGCTTGAGTGACATATCCCAAAATCCTCATAATAATCGAGTTTGATTTTCGGTTCGACGACCGAATGTCTGTAGAATCCTTTAGTCAGATATAAGAGCGTAGTTCCTAGAAAGGCGACGTACACGTCCAGCAGATGATGTCGAATTGTATCAAGTGTTGTTGGTTCAAGAACGTCCCGACAATGGACGCATCGCCAACGTAACGGGTCGAGCTGCACACCATTGGAGGGATCCGATTCCACACTCTCAGCCAACAGGACCTCGAAATTTTCAGGGTACGATGGGATGTTCCCTACCTGTGCGTGACTATCCATGTGCTGAATCTGATAACGTGAATATCAGCAATGCCGTGAGCGAGAGAAATAGAAGATAACCACAAATGAGCGCCATCCATATATATTCTTGAACCCTCCAGAACTAAGATTCGCCCTGTGACAGATGAGACAGCGGTAATAGTACTCCAAAGTATCGATATCTCGTACTGTCGCCGTTTCTGGGTCAAGACCGACCGCCCAAGTCAAGGTCGACATAAAAGATGTTAGGGTTTCGTGTCGAGCCAGGCAGTTCGAATTCCATGCACATCTCTGCTCCAGGGTAGAAAAGACCGTTTGCGGAGGATTTGGCGCCCGCGTACAGCACTCATGCGCCAGCACTTCAGGGTAGAACAACTCGCGAGCCACACATACCCGGCAGACAAACACGTTACGAGCTAGCTGGAGGAAGGCAGTCTTTTGCTCAATGGACTCCATCTCTGAATCCACTAATATCCTGATGAGCTCGGTGTGCGCATGCTCCGTCCATTGTTGGTGGAACAACCCTAGAAGCGGACGAAAGCTCTGGTTATCAACGGTGACATCGTCGGGAAGGTCGAGGATATTTTTGACTAGACGGAAGGTACAGAAATCCATTGGGGATGGAATGGTAGTGGCATAAGGTGATCCGGACGGGAAGAAGGACGAAAAAACGGAACTGGCGATGACCAAGCGGGATCTAACGACCGAAGTGTGTTCGAGAGCAGTCAGTGTAGAACGGTGTTTGCCGCGACGTGCACATTCTCGAGACACAAGGATACGGCCACGAACTTGAGATACGCGCTCTTGGTGTATTTGTTCCTTGCTCGCATCTTTTGCGAGCTGAATGAGAACCTCAGATATCTTGGACCAGCCTGTAATATATGTGTCCTAACAAGAGTCATTCCCTGAGGTGAAGGCTGGAGTGCTCACCTTGTTGTGTAAGGGCTCTCGGCTGCTTAACGAGAGGATGTCGATGGAAGCGGGACGTAAAACCGATATGATCGAAAACCTTTCCGTATCCGAGCGCTTTCAGTCTCTCCGCTATGCTGAAATGGGTCCTTTAGTGAAGAAAGTAGCGAGCAGAGCGTATGTTGCACTTACGCAGATGCTCTATCCATTTTCAGCTGCTCGAGCTCTTCTTGGCGCTCTTGTTCCCTCTTTTGACACCATGCCTCACCAATGGATACAAACTAGAATTGGATACGCTCGGTCAAAGATGAGATAGAGAGCGAAGGATACGTACAGCGGTCACTTCCTCGACATATTTGTGCCTTTCGTAACAGTATGCCTCCTTCATTTCTTCAGGAAGGTAAAGATACTGAGCTTTGACGGCCTCAAATTCTTCTCGCAGACATCGAAACGGTAGGCATCCTTCCCGTCGAACTGAGGGTAATTTAACGTCTGTTCTCTTGGTGAGCGAAGACGCGAAACTTACTTGACAACACTTTAGTAGGGACGAGTGTCATGATCAAGGACAGCTGGTCCTCATTGCCGGCTACCTCTGGATGAGACATAATACTATGTAGATTCATGAGTATTGTGACAAAAAGAGATGAACCGAAGACTTCACTGCTTGCTCACGCATTTAGAACATATCCGCGTTCGGAATAGAAAATTGATGTGGCGTACGACGCTCTTACAACAAAACTGGCAATCCAATGAGGGGCCTGTAGCTGCCTTGAGTAAACAAGCTTACATGGCACATATTCATGAACAATAGGTTCGCCCATGCTGGCTCAGAGAAACCTGATATCGGGGATGGACATTCCACCGTCCTACGAGCAGCCTTCCAGATAGCCGTCGATGACCGACTCATGAATATCGAGCGAAGGTCCTTCGAGGATCGCGCCAGCTGCAGGACGTCCTGTGGGCTGAGGAAGCTCAAAATCTACAGCCAAAAGAGTTAAGCGCCCAATGAAGATGGTGGGCGAGATGAAGACTCACCTCGAGCCACATCTCAACAGGCATGGATAGAATCCCCTGGAGCTTGCCTACACGAGTACGTCTTGGCGCCATCACTGAATGCTGGTAGTAGGTTGAAGAAGAAGAACAAGGTACTTGTAGCGCATGCTGCTATTAAGTACTTACCAACACGTGTTCAGGTGCAACACGGGTCAGCTGTAAGCTCGGTGCGAATACTTTATTTCGGGAACTCGGAACTTTCTCCTAGCCATGGGCCAACTGCGCCACGCCGTTCAAGCTCCCTCGGGTCTCAGGGCGAATCAGATCTGCTTCCGTCGCGGTGATGGTATGATCATGGTAAATGGGACAGTTACGCGTCTCCGAACTCATAACTTCCTAATAGACGCGTCCCATCCAGTCTTGAGCAACCAGTTCGTGAGTTCCGTGCTATTTTTGTTCGCTGTACTAATGGCCTCTACGTCGATTGCATATCAACAGCTCCGTGGGTACCTTTCAGATGTTAATCACGATAACGATTGGACTGCCGTACTGCCGAAGACTGAGATGTGATCGCAGGTCAAAATGTTTTACAGAAGAATACACTATCGACGAAATAAATTAGTGTCAATACAGTCGACGGAGGGGTAAAATAAAAATTTCATTGCTCCTTGGTCTCCAGCTCCAGAGTCATTGAGGCTGTCTTCGCTCTGGTCCATCACTGACCAACGGCAACGGGAGTTGTTATGTCAACATGGACAGGGTAGTCCGATACTGATTTCGGTCCGTCGAACTAATCGGCTGTTCCTGCTTTCCCAAGATCTCTGCAGCCATCCGTCTAACCCAACGCAGACTATCGAGACGCCTGATGCGTCTCACGCTCAACACCGAGACCTTCACCTGTGTTCCGTGGTATAATCAGGGCGGCCTGCATAAGTGACTACACGCTGATACCAATGGCCGCGAAATCAGGCCTTTGTCCTTCAGGAAAGAATTTCGACAGTAGACGAAGAACAAAGTCTATGACTGGGATCACGAATACTGACGGAAGATGGAAATGAGCGGTATCCACGAAGAATGATGGTTCGCAGTACATCCAATACAGGGCGAGATTCATGTTGTTCACGAACGGAGGTCGGTGGTAGAAAGGGGCGCTGTCCTTATTCCTGATTGTGGATGCGGCGACGGTCGAATAAGGGAAAACAACCGGATTCGGAGACAAGGTCCAGTATAGCGCCCGGTATCCGGTGACGAGACATCTAGTGGAAGAGCCAGATCAGATGAACTGTACGTCTTACGACCCTTAGTAAAATACTATGACATTCGTAGCCCGTCTACGTTGATATCCGCGACACAGTTCTACTTGACGCTCGGATCTCATGTCGGTATATGATAGCAAGACGAGCACTCTACGACACTCAAACCGTCAGACGTGAGCGAGGGAAATAGATAAATTGCGCACACTTAAATTCATCAACAACCAGCAATTCCGTCGTCCCGTGTCCGTGCTGCAGGTAAATTTTCGAGCGTCTCGACGAACAATAACTTTTGTGGGGCCAACATAGGTCCTAGAGTGGTGGATAGGGTATCCATCGAAGCATACGATCCTCCTCGCAATGGTGGTCAATATATTGCTCTTCTTTCCGCTCGTTGTGGATATCTGGCTGGCCTGCTTAGAAGGGAAAACAAACCAAGGACGAATTTGACACACGCCTAGGCCTTGCGATCTCTTTGGACAACATTGTAAACTCTTCCTCGTCATTGTAAAATCTTACAGAACCGGAACATCTTAGTCGGCGAGCAGCGAGGTAGACTAGATTATTGGTGGTGCTTGGACTGCAAGCGGTGGTGAATCGAAGAGCGAATGTCCGACATTTCGAGGATATCCGTAAGGAAGAGAATGGTAAATATTAAGATAAGAAAGCGGTCAGCAAGCTCGACAAGGTAGCTCTGCAATCTCTGCTGGGGACTGTCAAAGTGGAAGAAGGGACCCATTTGGATCCACACTTCACGCCAATCGGGACACGTGGCCACGCGCCCCCTTTTTGTTTCCTTCTTTCACCATGTACAGCTTTGTTCAGTACCGTCTGTTGTTGAGAAACGATTCTCTGCCACTGACAGTCCACCCTGTATTTGCGTAGTCCGGTTCAGCAATGCGCACGGAACCCTTGGGTGTCCTCCGCCAACAACTGCCACTAGGCAGTGGCAATTTCCTGGGCTATCGCCATCCTTTTGTTCCCTGTCGTCCCAAGAGACCGTATCCCTGTCCATATTGTCTGTGGTGCCTATGCGCAGCCTAGATATGACGTGCCAAGGGATGGAAAAACGGCAGTGCACACAAAATGGATAATCACTCAATATGACGAGGCGTGTTTTCCCAAATTCTGGATAAAGCAGTGATTTGGGAGGGAGAATTTCTTTGCGGGTGGCTATATGCGTACCTGGATGCCATGGTGATGGTATAAATGTTGTACTGGTACAAACTGGCGAGCGATATCGCTGGCCGTATCAACTTCGCTGTCGGTAATTCTTTGTCTTCTCGTGTTCGTCATGTTCATTCAGGGGCGCGGTTTAAATGCTTACCTTCATGGCCGGCATAGGGTGGTTATATGGCCGTTTAGATGCGGTAGTCAGCAAGGGAGAGTAGATGAATCAGCGTTTTGTAAGTCCTTTCTACATTTTCTCACCTTCATTGATCTAAGTTTTACAGTATCGTATATTTGGCTACGCCGTAGCTCCATTTCTTACTGCGAGGAAGGCAGGAACAGACGCAATTCCTGAGGCCCTTTGCTTTTAGATTCCATCAATTCAGAAGGCGACAGAGTAAAGGGGCACATTCTTTATGTTCTGTAAGTGATATGTCTATTTCTCTTCTTCAAACACGAAGATGAGGCCGATAGATGACAATCACCGAAGTGGTAGTAGTTTGCAGTTCCAGAATTCCGGACAATACAACTTGGCAATGGCATCTTTTTTTTCTTCATATGCCTCTTTATCGCTAAAATAGCCTGCGTTGGCTTGTCAATCCTTGAATGTACCACAGAGGTTCGCTTTATACATCAGAGATGCGAAGGCACGCGAAGCTGGAGGACGAAGGAAAGCATGAGATTGATGATGATGGCGAGCGTTTTACGTCCGGATGTATAGACTCTAAGGCAAAACACCGCAGGCGCGATTCCCATCCAGTGTCGCGGAACTTCCGTTCCTTCCAATGAACCTGATGGTACGTGTCTTTCGTTCATGACGATATCGTGCTACAGCAGGCGTCGTGGCGTTCATGGTCTTTGTTTGATCACTATTGATCTACCTGGTTGAGGTATCGACCCGTCTTTCAGTCAGCTTTTTGGCCGGAGCGACAGCGGAATGTCCGCATTCTGGATTCCACTCTATGTGCAGGACCCTGCATATCTCGGAACGTTTTATCCTATTCAATATGTCGATCAGCGGGGCAGTAGCCTATGAGTTCTAGGATACGTTGAAGTATAATTAAGGACCATTATATGAACGACGACCATCTCTCTCTTCTGGGACTACAAGAGTCCGAGCATTTCCTGCTTTAAGCTGCTTTGTGGATCCCTGCGATGCATCGCGGACGCTAATGCCAGCGCCTGAAGAGAGATGGGCTGTAGCATGCAACAGTCAGTCTTGGTCTTATCTCTTCGAGGGTGATGAGCAAGTGGTATTATTATGTCCTATTGATTTTTCTGTCTCTGTCCATGAATAGGATTCATCTGATGGGAATGTGGATGGGGTGCAAATGACGAGCGATCTCTTTGTCTTGTCCTTGTCTTTGAGAACGATGAATGGATCACACAATGTCTGGCCGAACCAGTATATCACCGCTTAGAGCGGAATAACATTATTCAGGTACGATGTCCATCATACATGATGAAATTTTGGCTAATTCACGTATATGTGTAATAAGAAAGCGAGATAGCAGGATAAGATACTATTCAGATATTTCTGTGACAGCAAGAGCACTCAACAGTATTTGAGAAAATTTTTACAATGTGTTTTATCTGTTCGCAGCTGGAAGAATCGTCAGTATACATTTAGGCCACAAATCCACCCGCTCGCTCACCATCACATAATAGGATAGTAGTAGAACAGTTACCCTGCGTGCTCGTGTCGAAAAGCTCTTCGACGTTCGGCAAAGAGTCGCTCGTGTTCTTCCGCGTGCATGAGCAATATGATTTTTAAACCGTGAAAGGTAACCACGGCGCATGTCATTGCTCGAGGACATACCTGCATCCTTGTCTTCAATTCATCGGCGTTCTTGTGATAGTTGTGTGCCTTTTTCCAAGTGTCCTTCGTTTTGGATGCGTACATCAATAAAGAGCGTGGGCTGGCGACGGAAACGCGTTGCCATGCTTCAAGATTTTCTCTGGCCAGTGTCAATACGTCAGCTCGCAATCTGAAGTTCAGTGGGGAAGGACATCATCATCAGGAAGGAGCCGTGCTTACTCTGCCAGTTTCAACTCTTCTGTAATCAAGACTTCGCGGTGCTCATCAAAGAGCATGTGGATGTCATCGATAGTGTCCTTGAGACATGATACGACCATGCAGGGCGACACCAATGGCCGGACGATGAGAAGATAAAATAATAGGCCATACACGATGATGCATTCTTTTCTTCCTGCTCCAACAGATTGCAAGACGGCGAAGGTGAATTCCAATATCGTCGAACTACGGGGTTGGTAGGGAGTTGGAAGATGGGATTCCATTGAAGGTTGCAGCTAAAGGGCTTACTCAGTGTTTTCCCAGTCCTAATATATATCTACTTGAATTCACCCTGCTTTGCCACGACACCACTGCTTTTTGGCATTACATTTAGACCATATCTCTGCATACATGTCCTCTGTTAATCCGAGCATAGGCCCAACCTTGCGGTATCGCAGGAGCTACGTATCTACCGATCTGATCCCACGATATGGTGCAAATTCTAACTCTAATCTGGGAGGAACAGAATTTGCGATTGGCTCTCTTTTGGATATGAATCTCAGGCCCGAAAAGTTCTTCTCGAAATGAGCATACTTCACTGTCGCCGTGCTGGAGCTATGGGTGTCTCTGGGCTCTGGCCAAGACATCTGTTCGTGCACTGGGTCTGTTCGAAAATGGTGATTGGTGCCCTCCCAAAGTATGCACTAAAAGTGTGGAACATATTTTTCCAGTAGTACTGCACTGAGCACCGGTCTTTGAACAAATGGACCATTTGCTGGTTTTGGATGTGCAGAAACCACCCCAAAAGGTTAGAAGATGTTTCCTTTTTCATATAATAGTAATGGAAGCAAGTTTTTTTCTGTGCAAAACTTTCAAACGTGTATTTGTAACTAGTTATTGTTAACTTCTGCTGGTATTTCTTTTTTAACATAAGGAACAAACTCTGGCCATCAATTGCGGCTCTGCCACAGATACTGCTGGGGTAAAGATATTGCCACCCTTCCTGCTTCTCAGCCTTCTGTGCCGTGTTTCTAGTTCTTGTGATGCTCCAGATAAGAACTTATTTTGGAATAGGTCCTGATGCTGACACCTTCTTTTCCCTTCATTAAATTATTTTGGATCCAATGATTATGCGCGAAGACTGCCTAGCCACATGGTTAAGCGTCTTCCGAGTCCCGCCGAGCTCCACGCTCTACAGGCTTCGCCTCGCCATTTGTTTACTCTCGACCATCACCTGGTGTTCTATGTCCTGGAGTGTCTTCTTTGTTTCGACCCTGATTTCAGGAATTGAATAGGCTGGCTCATTCAGCATCTCCACCACGTCCCTGCTATGTTTCGTCGCAATGCCCTGGAAATGGGGATTATGTTGAGGGTAGACACCAGCGGCGAGCAGGTAGCGATTGTCAGGCCCCTGATCAGCTCAGCTTTGAGGGCTTGGGCTTGGCTTTGGCAGGCTCATGCTTGTAAAATCATGAGCCCAAGTTCAGTCAGGCTCAGCTTGGGATCAGGCCCGGGCTTCATGCAGATGAACACTATACATATATTTTCAAGATTTAAGGACATGGATACAACTAGATATCATTACATGAACAATCAGTATTCCAAAGCCACTCAGGTGCAGTGTTACTAACAGCCTTTGTACTTTGCTTCAGAGGTGGAAATAATTGTCATGCATTCTTTTCTTTCTGTTACGTTGTTTATGCTCATTCTATCTATCAGCCTTCTGATGTGTAACAGGATGCATAGATGTCGAGTGGCTCGATGTCACGACACCAGCCGGGGAGCATATATATTATCATATATCAACAGTTTCGTCACCACGATGAGTGACCATTTACAACCATTTTAATCTGGATGCCCGGCAATACTGAGGGATGCGTGTTTAGATGCGACAGGAGATCCACGATGAACTTGAAGCAAAGAAGGGTACGACACAGAATGGATTTCTTTGTGAGTGAGCTTTTTATTGTCCCATGATCGTCGTGCTCATGGGTTTCCTAGCAGCCGGGCGCTCACAGCATATTTCTTCCCTGTTATTATCGGGAAAGGATACCAATAACTCCCAAGCTCTCTCTAAACTTCTCGCCAGGACCTCACTTTTCCCCAAATGCTGGGTGATTTCATGAAGGACTCAGCTCTTGCAGCGTAAAAATGCTGGCAACGTTCGAATTCCATGGACTAGTAGGGAGAGATAGCAGTTATTCTAAGTAAATATGGTCCTTCAAATGCCCTCATAACCTAAGCAGTCGCATGTCCCTTGACACCTTCCGGTATTCTTCCCCGGCTCACGAGTAACTTCTCAGTAGAGCTCACAGATACGAGAAGCCTAAAACCGTGAATGACGGATTGCACACCGGTATAAGGTTCTTTCCTTCAGCCTGCATCCCTCGGAGACGCTGAACACTGTGAACACTCAAAAATGACAATCAACTGCTAGCGCCGACTTCAGCGTCGCATCCTGGAGGATTGCGCAAGATAACAGTGCGTCGTACATCTGGTCCCGTTCCGCGCTGTATATGAGGTCCCGTTCTTGACCAGGAATAACTCGAGTCTCGAGGAAAGGGTGGGTAAAAGATGAATGTATGCATCTTTGGATGTGAAGCCCGGAAGATATATATATAACGTTCTGCGAGTCCCTTTTCCGTTTTCTCACCTTCATCGGGCTAATTTTTCTCAGTGCTGTACCTCTTCTTCAGTAGTGATTCTATCTACGGCGATGAACAAGATAGTTTGTTCTGAGGCACGTTCCTGTGGTGTGGAACAGCGTCACTCGACGATGGGGTCTTCCCTTCTCGATTGACGTTCCATTCTGCAATCCTGCCCTCTCCGTCAGCTCGGATATGCTACGGCAGAATTCTGGAGCACTTCAGTAGATGTGAACGTCACACGGAAAACTGATCGACAAACCGGAGGGCAGACATCGCAAAAGAACATGTTTGGGTCCCTGGGTGATGCCAACGTGGTTTCGCAGCAAGTGTACGTACTCGTTCTAATGGCACTACCTGCCAACTGACGCTCGATACCAGACTATTCTCGATGATACGCTCTGGTCTTCTCCAGTGTCCTTTACTGGTCTCGATGTGAAATTACGCACACTATCTTTTGTTCAAGTGCAGCGTACATGTGTCTAAAATCAGAGGACTTTTTTGGGCGTTGCCTAGTACTCGCGGAATTCATTGGTCAAAGAACACGCCGTCCTCATTCCATGACAAGACACCCCACGCGCGGTTCCATTCAGTGTCAGTCGCGTGCCTCATCCGCCAAAAGAGAAAGCCTGGTTCTCGCGAGTGAGTGTTTCAACTTGGCTCTTAGCTGGTATAAAATGTGGAAAGTAGTCTCACTAAGCTTTAGCCCGGCCTGACAACCAGCGTATCTAGTTCAGGCTTCTCAGCAGCTACATCACAACTTGGCAAATAACTTCTATCATTGTCGCCAGATTATTTCTCCTGTCTTCGACGCGCTCGCTGACATCTCCTATGTCGCCGCTGAGGGCTGCTTTAGCGGCGGCCAGCCAGGGACCTGCGACGCTGCGAAGATGCCGCGTATATGTTCTGCCACGGGTGCTTAACGTTAACGGCGGCGAAGTGAGTACCACTGTCCCTGTCCTCGCTGATCAACCACACTGACATGAAGTGCAGCTTGGAGACAGCGAGAAGCACTCGCGCTGCTACAATACCGCCTGCGGACACAAGTGCGACATGCACACTTTGAACACAGAGTCCTACGAGGACGATCACTAAGGCGGACTGCGCATCTGGCAGTGTTCACGAATGGAAACTGATGATGTAGATTTCAGTTCTTATGGCACCTCTGGATCGATAGCTGATGACCTGATCGATAGGGAGGAAACAAGCCCATCAACGCCATCGAATATACCACTGACCCTAAGAGGGGAACCCGCTATGGATTCAACCGTTATGTCGTGTTGCATTGTGCAAAGATGTTACCCGCTTGATAATTAACAGAAAAAATTAACGAACTAACTTCAGTCAAATCAATTCTTGATTTACTTGCCGGATCCCAGACAATAGAGCGAGTCTTGCGCATGTACAAATGAATCCAGCTCTGGACGTTGCGAGCCGTGCCGAGATTGACGATATTGGATATCGGCAATCACGCCAACGTTCTTTCGGTCAATGTCCTCTTCAGAGTACCAACCTGGTAACAGGACCCACTTCATGGTTCAAAGGACAGTCCTGCTCCTTTGAGATACCGTTGATCAGGTTCTTGTTGATAAACCTAATGAGCAGAACAAATGCGAAAAATAGTAGGATCGATGATATTACGCTTGCCATGTATCAAGAAACAACCTGTGTCTCTCGACCCATGGGGTTAAACCAGTTGACTCAATTTCTCAAGGAAGTATGTGCATCTCCAAGTCATCTTTACCCAGGCGCAGGCCCTGGGGTCAATTTCCCAACGCCATCCAGCGTAATGGCCACGATGGCTGATGCGTTGAGCGGTAACGGTTCATCATCTAACATCGACGACCATCTGAGGACAGTACCTCCAAGGCTCTTTACGCATTTATCCAGTTTTTTCACAGAGAAACCGGACGATAAGCTGGTCATATTTCAGTATGATTGCTTCAGTATGTTTGGCATTGATAGTCCCAAATGACATTTCTGATATCATATCCTTCCGGAAGGTCACGGTTTGGAACAAGCACTGTGAGCCAAAAATACAGCTCGGTTCTGTGGTTCTGGGGGAAAATCGTGAGGTGCCAATGGTACAAGAAAGTGATGGAAAGGACGAAGCTGCCGGAACATGAACATGGGCACCAAAGTTCCCACGCCACAGATGCGACGCGGTCCAGTGTTATTTGAGCTTTATCTTTTCTTGCCAGCAGTCGGTAATTGAAACGTACTTGGATCTGTACAAAAGGGTGAATAATATGAATGTCACACATGAATTATTGAAATATAAATGCTCCATCTATCCAATGTGGCGGCCACCTTTGGGCTTTAAATTATAGAGATTGGGAATATATGTCGTGGATGACGGTCCCAATATTCGGCGGGGAGGCATCTATGTTATCTTGTAATTTGGCAAAATGCTGCTCGAAGAACGAGACGGTACTGTCAGGCGGCTCGGATCGAGGTGATCGAAGCGGTCCGACTCCGAGAAACAGCGGGCAGCTCTTTCAACTTGGACACTGACATTTATCCTTTTGCTCTCGCTTTACTCGACCGATTTTGAGGCATTGAAATTGCACCTTCTCGGTGAATATGGTTTCCGCAACATCTGAACGACTCTCAGATTACGTCTAGCAAGGTCATCTGAGGTCATCTGATCGGAGTCCTGAAGCTTCTCTGACTAATAGGTAAAAAAAAGTTGTGGAAGCAGTGTGACTCTTTCTTTTCTTCGACCACCATCGGCCAATCATTTGCCATTGGCATATCGTTTTTTGGCTGAACCGCCGTACAATCTGTAAGCAATCTTTATCCTCCTTAAAAAATAGTCTTACCCTGGCTGTGTTTCCAGCCATGGCTGCGCCCGAATCTCTTCGGTGTATGGGATGCACTTGCCCTAATCACTCGATCACCTCTTCGCACCGCCATATATCCACTCCCCCGATTGTGGATACCTCCGCTAAAGCCGATCTGGCATATCTAAAAACATGCAACTTAGCACCGTCCGAAGAGGAAGCAAAGTCATTGAGACACTTCATATCCTCATGCCAAAGTCGGGTGAAGAAACTCAATGAGGAAGAGTCTTCTTTGCAAGAACTCATCGTGAACCTTGAACGACGCATCTCTTCGAGCGAGCGGAGGATAGCTGCCTTGCAGAAAGAGCGCCGTCAGGCTGTTGCGCAGATCCGTGAATGGAGCGTCCTTCTTGATCCCATCAGGTGTCTTCCGCCTGAGATATGGTCGCGCATATTCAGTGAGACCATCGAATTTCCCACATTCCCACAAGCAAGCTTCCGCCTGGATTCCCATACCGGCGCGCTGACCCATTTTCACTGGAACTTCACCGCCGTAGAGAGCACTCTCTGGGCTATCGAAGGCGTGTGCAAGAAATGGAAGGCCGTGGCTGTGAACTCTCCTGAGCTGTGGGCTTTCATCAACATCGTCATTTCTGACTCAAATTTTGGCCCAAACACCAACGGATATGTCCGGCGGCTCGGACGGCAATTGGGTCGCTCAGGAAATCGTCCATTGTCGATCATCATTTCTTGCCCGGACTACAATCGTGATAGTCTCCCCCCTCAGTTGACCATGATGCTTTACTCCTTTTCAGACCGCATCCAGCATCTTCGATTGTATATCCCTTCGGGAATGCTGAATACTATCCCATACCTGGGACTTTCCCTTCCATACTTAAAAACTCTCTTCATCCTCTCCACAGACATGGACATTACCCCGGATGCTGACAACATCAACGAGCCGTTAGAATTGTTTCCAGTTTGTCCCAACCTGCGGGAACTCCAGTTTGTGGACATCAATGATAACCGTTCATTTTCTCTTCCCTGGCAACAGATTACCGATTACAGGTGCTGGTATTATCGCCACGTGGGTCCAGATGCATCTGTCCATATTTCAAGTCTCGAACGGATGATACACCTCCAGGATTGCTTTTTACGGTGCAGCTTACCGTCCCGGAGGCCATCTCCAAACAGAGCGCCTCCCCTTTGTCGAGAGTATCGTCTCTTGGACCTACATTCCGATCATGATAACGGAGGAGATATTGCGCTTCGGCAGATCATGGACACGCTGACCTTACCTGCCCTTCAACAACTCAAAGTGACATGCCCTGCGGGGAGCACCCGTTACTTCAATGAGGGCACGTTCTCCTCCATCCACCGTCTTCTTAACCGCTCCATTCCCCCACTCACTAGACTCCACTTCTGTGGCGGGAGCATCGTTATGAAGGATCTATTGCACGTCATCCTCTCGACTCCCAGTCTGGAAGACTTACAGCTCAACGAGCTGTATAAAGATACCATTACACCGGATATCATCATCGCACTTATACTGAATCTCCCTTCCGGTGTCGTGAATGTACCGCGATTGCACACTCTCCATCTTAGTGGTGTCGGAAAAGCGGGGGTATCTCTGCTTGTCGATATGATTCGCTCTCGGTGGATTCTTGATGGAGGCCTTTCAAAAGATGTCTCACGTTTGAAGTCGATAAAAATAGAGAGCGACTACGATTTTCTTGAACATTATTCACAAATGGCCGTAGAAGCTCATGATATTAGTCAATGGATCAGTGACGGTTTATCTTGCGAGTTTCGTCAGTCGGTTTGATACAATATTTACGAGTAGTATCATGTGTTTCGCATTAGTATCATTGTCCCTGAACCATGAGAGCAGCGCTCTCAGGAATGCGATTCGGCGTGAACATGAGTGCCTTCAAATAGATCTCGTCGTCCTTCTTCGGCGGCTTTACACAACATCTGAAACAATGGTTTGGTCTTCCCGAATCTTCTGGCGCGATCCTGTTCAATACTCATGAGCGAGCTAGTACTAACGTAGCGCAGGGGTCCCAAATGGATACCACAGAGTGCTAGGCAGCAAGAATAGCTGGTGAAAACAGACGCCCCGGATGACTTACGTCGTATTCAAAGTAGCCATCCATGTGCTTTCAGTGCAGGGCCAGCGAACTGCCTCAGTCTCGTGATTCACGATACTCGTCTCCTGGACCATATCAGCACCCTCTGAGCGCCTTCCCTTTAGTCCACAGGAACACTGGTAACAACAAAACGGCCGAATTTCTGAGCTACCATGTTCTGGAATGATAAGAGAGCGTCATTTGTCATGATCTGAGTCTCTGTAGTAAAGATCAAGTAAAAATACTCAATAATTCAACCATCTCTTCCCGTTGAATTGAGAAGAGGGATAGGTTTCAAGTTCGGCCCGACTGAGGAGAGCGTTCTAGAAGACATGACGCTTTTGGGCCGTGAAGGACTCCGCCAAATGGCAACGTGATGTTGCCTTCGAGTCATCATTGTATTTTACCGGGATGATTAAAAGGTAACCCGGGACATGAAACATGTACAGAATAGGCCGCACGTACAAAGTAAGTGTCGGAGAGCAATACGTCAGAGGAGCGCCTGCCGACAATCAGGGTAACATGTCAAAGAAAGAAAGGGCAGTCTCCGAGTCATGAAGGTAACTTGACCAGTCGAAGGTAGCACATGGGTCACAGGTTTCTTCCCTCCACTCTGCCACCAACGGAACCAGTAAGTGATAGAAGCTAGCCCCAATGCCGAGATAATGAACGATGACGATAACGTACGGCCTCAAGTACAACCGTAATCCCTTGTGAGTTCGCCGTGATCTGGCATATACGTGCGGTCCCCTCCATGTATGCCGTCACTAGGAAATGAATCTAAAGCGCTTTAGATGATAACCCAAAACAGGGTCAGCCCGAGAAATGCGGCAGAACAGCCTGAACACCATGACGGCGCATGGCTGGAATGCTGGGACCTTCTGTATGTGACAACGCGCCTACAGTATCATAAATATACACGTCCTACCACTCAGAAGTATAGCTGAGTCGTCTGGAGTTCGAGGCGACCCTGCAGTTTCAAAAAGAATCTTAATTTCGAAATTCATTTCAACTTTCACGTGACCTGTCTGCTTTTTATTCCAACATCACACCACTGGAAAAACTGACCTTGATCCTGGTTTGCGTGGGCATATTCCGGCCTCCATATGAGCTTCTGTTGCTTTTGAACTTAAGATCAGTCGCGGTCTCCTAGACCTGAGTACTCATTACTTCGCTTCACTAGAACCTTTCGCTGTCTTTCGAATTTTACAATCAGATGCTGTCCGGTATATGTTATAACGCCAGCCACGTGAAGTCTACCGAGCCGTACATTTTCGGGAATCTACCCGGTTTTCAAGTTGGACTATGTCTGTTTCCTTGTACTTCTCTGAATTCTGAAAGGCTGATGCTTCATGTATCGCTCGGTTGTTTGACGGTCTCATCGGCTGGCTTTAAAGAAAACTCGCCTTTATAAACCCTTCAGTGACTCTTTTTCAGCCTCTAGACTTTTCTCAGTGACGCGTGTCAATGGACGAGAAAATGTCACGAGCCGAACTTTGGCAGGATCCTCAGCCCACGCTCCTACGCCCGTCTATAACTTCTACAACTTTAGAAGGTCCTCTTCCGTAATGGAGACATCCCTGTCTGCGCATTCCATTCTTTAGTGACGGTGCGACAGCAACTGTATATATCAGCACCTCGAGGCTCAAACTTAAAAGTCACAGAAGAGAACTTCTCCAGGACGAGCCACAACCCTCAAAAATCGAGGTTTGTGGATAGGGACCAGACTTTTCAATGGGAATAATGCAACCGTGAGACCCGAAAGCGAGCCGGTCGTTTGACATCACAACATCTCCCACCTATCTGACAGTCACCGGATCTAAAGCCTACTAGAATTTCATTCCTTTCGGTAGATTCCCGGTGGAGTAGTACCGTGACGTAGTCTGATCTCATGGTATAGGTGAGCGAGCGTATTTCGTTCTTGTTGAGTCCTTCGAATTGTTCGCTGAAACTACAATCAGGACAGAATAACTTTTCCCTATCCGAAGGATAGGTCAAACACCGATGTACAAATAATCCGAGCCATTCAAAAATTCGGTCGACTGTGACTACCCTCCTACTGTCTTGGGGGGTCAAGTCACTAATGATGATAGACGCATGTCATTAGGTTGCCGTGGCGCCTATCGATCTCGGAGAAATGGGGATTGATAGTTTGCTTCTGGCCCCGAGGGTACCAACATTAATTAGACCAATAATCGGTACTTGATGAGACGAACTTGACCTGCTCTAAGCTGACCTTTCGTGCGTAGGGCATTCCTGAGGGTCAGAAGATTCACGACGGTCCAACTTGCAAAATTCCGGTGCCGCGAGTATTTCATGCTTTGTGCTTTAACAAGAGCATTGCTGTTTCCGCCATCCGATAACTTTCATTGTGTCTCGGACCCGACGCCAAGTTGGATAAATGCCGGTGTTTATTGTCGTCTGGAGGTTGATGTCCATTGTCCAGGCGTAGTATTACGGCTATATGAGGAAATTCCAGGGTCGTCGCGCCGCCTTCTTCTTTCGTACCCCCCATCAATAACGCTGCCATTATACGTGGAGTGTCCAAAGCCACAAATCATCCGATTAATCTCATATCACTCTCTTCAACGTTTAGGGTAATAATCAGTTTTTTGACGCTGATTAGGCCTGAACCTTTTCTCTATACTTTAGATACCACTGACATGACCTCGCCCTTGCCGGTCAGCGGTTACCTAGGCCCATGCAACGTACCTCAATTTTTTGTTTACCGGCCCCCAACTCGGAGCAGGATAGCGAATTGATACACTTTCAATTTGACCTCATATTATAGCCTTTAGCTAGCCCTTATCGAAGCAGCGCATATCCATGGTTCATGGAAATTCGTAGTGGGTCACTATGGGCCTCTTATGGCGTTCATTAATTTTCTGCACAGGATTATGAAGTCATAGTTTCGAGCTGCGATCCTAGATAGCTGCAGTCGTGCTCGTTGATCCGGCGACATTTCGTAGGTCGGTATGCCGTGACTCGTGAGTGAAGCACTCTAACTCCGTTCGACATCCTGCCTTGGGCGAATTCTCTGAGATGCGTTCTAGCTCCCATATCCTCAAAACAAGCCTCGAATGGTGTCCTTCATGCACTGTGACATTCTCCAGCTACTACCAGAGAGGCGTTTTATTCCATTGAACAGAGGTTAGTGGCGCTCTCTTTCTGGCGTTGTGGTCATTTATCAACTTATACATCACAGAATCCAGCTTTCGGTAAGGACGCTACGTGCGGCATCTGGGACCGCAGCTGCTACTCTGCCAGTCATCTCTTATTGATCGGCATTCATAATGACGACACAAAATATATGTTGCCAACCCAGTTGACGACCATCGATTACCTATAGCTCTGCGATGCGCAACCGAAATCTGCATCTCTCCGTTCTCTCAGAGATTCTCGGATCTGGCCCAGTTTGTCTGTCTTCCCTTCTCTGATTGGAGGTGCCCTAATTCGCTGCTTTTAGTAGACAGATAGGTAAAAAAAAAAAGAATCGAAGACCAGGAGAATTTGAAGGTGGTTCGGCCTCGTTCCATGCTTCGCCCGCTTGAGGTGTTTGTTCAATACCTTCCACCTCACGACTCTTCTTTGGCACCAGTACGTACAACGCTACCTCTAATCACGGACCGGTTCCCGAGAGATGGGCCCTCTAAGCCGGCCACTTATCGTGCGAAAGCCGGACCGAACGCAATTTTGATCACGCTCGCCCTGGGTGAGTGGTGGAGATAGATCACTAATGCTCAAAATTTCTTGTTGGATCTTCGGAGAGTAATACAGCAGCTCCTCGTCGCCACGACGAAGAGGCGCTATACACGCGTATTTTTTTTTCTTTTATATTTAATTGTTTGTATCAATATCCTTCATGCAACGAGAAGCCCTTCTCTGCCATACGTCGACACATGGAGCGTTCTCGTTCTCATCGTGCACGAGTTCGGCTATGGCGTAATCCTCTTGGAAGATGCTCCGTACGTCCTTCTTTCTACTCTCACGCTCGAAGAATTGCTCTCCGCATGCAGGAGGCACCATACTCGTCGCCGCACTCACCTTGAAAGCTCATTCCGAGCATTTCGGTGTGATTGTTCCTCGTCCAAACCGATACGTGTCGTCGTAACTTGGTTTCATCTATGTGATCTGGTAATGGTGAGGGACTAGTATCACAGCGTCTCTACTTTCTCACATTTATTGAAAAAGTGTTTCATCGCTGTGACAGAAATGATTCCGGACGAGCGTCGCCGCCGAAAGACCGGGGAGGCGTCTGGTTTTGAATATAGACAGCTGTTCATATATAAGTACGTTGATTTGGAACTGGATTCGGGGGACGGATCGTTCCCTGTAATTACCGACAATGCATGCCCTTAATCATGACGGGATGTCCTGAATATGCTGAGTTGTAACGAATATATTGAAGACAATGGCCTCAAAGCACCGACTGTAAGCCTGAACGTAAATACCATGGATAACTCCTTCGAGGCAGTAGCACATGTCACAAAAAGGCAGAGCAGCCCAGGACAAGGTACTATGGGTGTATGACCGCAAGAACCCGTGGTCCTGTCGTCGAAGTCTTACAGTATGAGTGACTGTATCATCTTGAACACGAGCGGAGGGAGTGACCCCTTACATACTGAACCCTTCAAGTTGAGAATAAGTAGAGTATGGTCGGACGACAGAGAAGAACCTCGACAAATAGCCATCTTCGGGCCCCAGTCGTCTCTTCATGGCGGAATTCCAACTGTATCACCGATTCTTCATACCGTCTATTATTTGACGAATTAGCCGGGCATATACATACCGCATGAACTGAAGACAAAGAGCGAAGGAGTACTTTGTACCCCGTCTTACTAGTAGTGATGTACTGCTTGAGTTTGGGATATACTCACTACAAATGAACAGATTAGTTGATTAATTTCAATGGCACTTAGGATTTAGAAGCCTCAATAGAGGTAGGGACGACATTCTTGACGCTGACAGGAAAATTCTAGCAATTCCATGAACAAAATGATGGGGGGGGGGAAAGGGAAGGGCTTACGTGACAACCGCCTTTTCATCCCGAACATGAAGTCATCGTGTATAAACCTCGGGAATTTGGTATAGACTCATACAGATTCCATGATGACAGACATTGGCGTCAGATTCAGAGCATCATTCAGCGATATCTATAATGAGCTCGGCCGTTTGATATCTGCAGGGCGCTTGATTTTGGAACGTAATAGTTATGAATAACAGGAACACAAAGAATACCGTCGCATACATAGACGATGCGATGACTCGGTACCTCCCAGTGCCTGGAAAACCGCTTGTAATACTTATCCACCAGAAACCGTTGCCGTAAAGCTGATATTTGAGTCCAAACAGCCTCTGCAGGAGTGTAGTGCGGAAGTAAGATCGAAAAACTGTCTGTGCTTGTAATATGTCATATCATTGTGGCGCAACACTAAACGATCAGATTATGTAGTCACTCACGAGAAGGAAGGTAAAAAGTCGCACCTGCCAGCATTGACAATGGGCAGAGGGCGCATTTACCGTAGAAACGGCCCACCGCGATAAGAACCTGAGGTCGCCGGAACGGTCATAACGAAAGGCTGAAGGCGATCTTTGAAGCTACGAAGCCCGAGAAATGACAGAGAATAACGAGAATATGGTAGGCCTAGGCGATAGGTTCCGTGTAAAGTTTCCCTAAGCATCCTTAACGGTTCTGTTTTCGTGTACGTGGGAAACTGTTAGCCCTATCGGCCCGGACTACCCTTCTTGGAACTTGCCCTTTGACCTGTGCGCGCCATCAAGCGCCACTCCTCTCAGCGCTCCTGCGACTCACAATGTGCAGAAAACTCTCTGAAAAACTTGTATATTACTTACAACCGAAATCTTGGGAACAAAGTAGGGGTCACCTGAAGAATTGATTATGCGTCATCTCAGGTTTCTCGGCTGTGCGCCTAATTTTCGTCATCCCGCAAGTTCCATCTCATAGGACAGACTGTTTTCTTTTGCTCACTATGCGCTCACAGAAAAATCTGGGTACAAATTTAACAACCGGCCATCGCCACTATGCCAGTGGCGCTTCTTGCAGTTGTCAGGGTCTATTTGAACTTGGCCTCTGCTTTCAATTGAATACCGCCGCCTTTCGACCTCAAATACTCACGTCAAAATATCGCCTTTATCCGACCGCAGCCGTACACCCCTTCTAACTATCTGGGGTTCGATTTTTACTCTGCCGTGACTCTGATGTCTTAAACACCGTCCTGCCTCTGCTCGCACTGGCAACTCAAGGGCTCCGAAGATGAGCTTTGCATTCCTCACAGGACATCATAATTGACGCATCCGAAGTCGCAGCCCGACCACAATATTGTGACACAGACAGACAAGATCTCACTATGACGACGCCGAAGGCCAAAAAAGTTGAGAGCCTCTTTACGGCCTCTTCGGCTGATTTGAGCCCATGTCCTTTTGATCGAAGAAAACACGTTGGATTGTGCGTGATCTTCTTCCGCGTCCCTAACATCTGCTCGATTTGTATTGATCTTGGCTCTTCCCTGATGTTGCAAAATATATAACAGCGCACGCTTTTCGTTAATGGACCGTCCGTTGGAATTTCAGCGCCTGTATAAGCTTTGACCATACAACACCCCCCCACCCTCATCCTCCCACTTCATTCATCATGCCTAGTCCTCGTCGCTCAGGAGGAGCTCCTCCCTCTGCCTTCCGCGTTAACTTCGACCCATACCGAACGGAAATCCCAGCGCTGAACAACTCAAGCAACGCTACATCAGATCCATTCTCTTCAACGATACATACCGGTTCTTACTACAGTAAGTTGTCGCTCAGCATTGTTGCGACTGACAACTCATGCGCATAGCAGATCTCACTCTCTGGAACCAGAACAGAGAGGAAGACCAGAGGAGCTTTCTGTTCATGCAAGATGAAGGCGGCGTGCCCCCCCCTCGCATTCGCCGACCAAGGACCCTCGATCGTTCCACCGGTAGCTACCAGAAGTCCAAGTTAAGCCAATGTACGAGCATGGATGGTGAGTTTCTTGTGTACGTGTCGTGTCGTGTCGACTCAAATGATCTCTCAGATACCTCCTCAGAACGAGGGCATTGTGGGGGTAGCCGATTCAGCGACTCGAACGAGGCCGATGGTAAGTTCAACACTTCCAAAGCCCCAGAACTGTCCTAACCACCTGGTGCTTCAGAGTCATTTATGTCATTACGAACCAATCACCAATTCTTCACGCGCTCACCGTCAAGTTTCTCATGTCGAAGCCAGAAATGGGCTCCTCGGTGGCTTCGAAGGGTGTTTTCACGGAAGCGTTCGCCTGCTGTCCATCATTAGATGGAACGGAGCCATGTTAAGCACCGATACCCCCCAGGTACGTTGGACCATGTTCCTCGTCCAGTTTCGCTTAAGCTAACAAACTCGGAACATCAGAACGCCAAACGCCCTCAATACCATTTTCATCAAGTCTATACCCTACAACATGCCCTTTAAACGTTGTCGACGACCCAATGTACTTTTAGTTTTCTGTACCATCCCCGGTGGACTATGCGTTCCATTTACCCCCCAAGAACCATGTTGTAGAAATGAGATACAAAATATAAACGAATACGAATTATAGAAATTTGAATGTTTTTTTTTTTTTTCATCGCATCATCCACTAGTCACCGGTCTGACTTGGCTTCTGTCATCATTTCTCTTCAGCCTGCCTGTGGATTTTGCCGCAATGCCGCGGAACCCATTGGTTCCGGGGGTTCTGATGCCGTCAGTGGTGGTGGCGCTTTCCGGCGCGCATTGCCAAATCCTTTCCTCCCCCCTCCCACCCAAGCCTCGATCATTCTATCAGGCTGCGCTCTCGACCAAATGCCAACACTATGGACTTGTTGCACGAAGAGAGCAAAACAAACATTTTAGTTGTCATTAGGGGAAACTACTTCGGCTACCTGCATTGCCATGTCTTAAGCTTGTCAGTTCGTGACTGACTTAGAGTAGAAGTATATTTCATCGCCTGATAACCATACCGGTCGGTGGTTTTTTTACTGAGTAACCCTGAACCCGACTAGGACCGGAACCAGAAGTAGCAAGTAGCAACCTCGGTCATAGAATTTCGCAGACCCGCTAAGCATGCAGATAACTGCACTGGTCGTTGAAGAGCCGATGAGAAAAAACTCGGCGAAACGTGAGGACCGCGAATAAAAAAATCGCGGGGGTTGGAGGGGGGGGGGAGGGAAGGGGACTCAGCCATGCTATGATATGAAATCGTGAAAAAGACTCCCCCGTGGCCCTCTGTTACCAAGGTAAGGGGCGGCAACTCGGTTAACCAAGCCGTACGAGGTCCAGCTCCATGTGAGAAATGAAACCCATACCACGTACCTGATATCGATCCGAGATATCAGGAGCAAACAAACAAACATTACACTGCATGCAGTATAACTACATCATTGGTTAGCCGAATTTGCGCAATGACTGTGACCTCTGGGGAAAGAACAGACCCGAGCCAAGGAGAAATGCATGACATGACCTGAAATCATGAATAATGGAGGTTCAGCGTTTCGGCGGGCGAAGACTTTGAGGGGAGGGAGGGAGGATAAGTGGCTAACGAAGCCCCGCCGATCTTTTCACCAAGGTCACATGCAGGGTCGTCGAAGCCATTACTCTTGACTCGAAAACACACAGAACTCGACGACCCTGCTGAATTTCGGTAGGACTTGGCTCTCCAATGTACAGGTCATCAATAATGAATGATCCTTGGACTTGAATGAGAAATTAAATGAAGGGGGGAGGGAGGGGGGAAGGGAAAAGATTCCCCAGGAATAAAAAAAACCACCGGTCCGAACAGAAAATCCTTGGATGCGTGAAAACTTACCCACTTAAAGTACTATGATCCCAGGCACTTTTCCTAAGAATGAAATTCCCGAGATTCGGCCAGCAGCTCCTACACGACATGTGCACAAGCACTGCTATCGAGTCACGAATGACTCACCGCCATGTCGTATCCAGGTTACTTTGTGACTGCGCCGCATCTGGGAAAGAATATAGCAAAAGGATGGATCGTTATTGTTATCATCTAAATTCCTCCAGATTCGTTTCCCACTCAACGCTCTATCGACGAGAAGTCTCTATATCCGGATGAAACCTTGCGCACACACCCCGACATTCGTCTAGTTTGTACCTCGGGCGCAGATGAGAGCGCAGGGTTAAACAGGAAAAATCAGATGGTGGGTGCATAATACGTGATAGCTTCAAGCGTCGGCCACCCAGAAAAGAAGTTGTAAGGGGCACAGTGATGGCGGTGATAGATTACCGGGAACTGGAACTCTGAAAACTGAAATAGATGCTGCACATGTTTGTTGGTTTCGACGTGAGATAGAGGCGTGTTTAGAAAGCTCTAGATTTACACTTCACGAAATCGTCAGTAATTCTGAGCATGATGGATGGGGTCGAAGGGCTGGCTACTCACATGACCAGTCGATCATTACGCGTCAGGATGACGGAACAAGCAACGATAGCTGCAAGAGGTAGACGATCCAATCATGTTTTCGAGCCCCAACACCTGCGGCAGCCTCCTCTTCTGCCCGACTCTGGTATCTCCTCCGCGAGAGTTCAGACAGAGCCTAAATCAACGGGTACGGCTGACTTCTGATTCACACCAACAAAGGCCAAGTGAGGCAATTTTCAGTACACTCTCATCGGTCCGAACTCCGAAAGCACCAAAAGTCAGTGCATGTATTCAAAATAACATCAGAAACTTGCGTTCATGGCGCCTTGGATGATGCATGAAATAATCGATAGAAAAAGCGAACGCTCCAGAAAACGTACACCACACATGTGTCAGGGTCATCCAAACTTGATTGCCGACGAGCATCAGTAAACCTCCTCTGGCGCACGTCTTATAAAAGATAAAGTGAAATATTCAAAGGCAATTGCTCCCCGGCCTAAGAATTACTCGATGTATGCCATAAAGCCTGCAAGAAATGAGGACATGAACTTCAGCGGCTTCGAGGATATGACAAGCGGAGAGAAAGAGTCCTCACTTAAAAGCCACCGGACCCAGGGACTGACGCGTGCTGAAGAAGGACATCGAACGTCGTTATCCTCCTGAAGTCCGTCGCAGCAAACCGCGTGTAGAAAGAAAACACCCCCCAAAAACATCATTCCGGCAACACGAGGCTTATAGTACCCCGCATGGTGCGACCATCGCCATCCGGATCAGGAGCTTGGCATGGCGGATAGAAGCCAGTTTCATAATGAACAAGTAAAGCCCTGTTGTGATATACAGGGTTCCGGGGATCATTGTGGGACCCACGATGGCGATCGTGCCGCACAGCGAGCAATGCAAAGCAACGTCATACCCGCATATGAAGGGGAAAATGACAAGATATATTAGAAATAGCGCCGAGTGGTGAATAGCAATACATGCACCCTGACATTCTGCGCAGGGAAGGACTGAGACGGACATGAAACGGTTCACACGACGGCGTCTTAAAAGTGGGGGTGCGATTCAAGCGAAAGGGACAAAAAGGCGAAGCCATCTTGGGCGGCCCCGGCAGACCCAGGTACGAAGGAGTGGACTCGAAGTGGTGGTACTGTAAAAGGCGGTCCGTCTGGCTAGGAGCAAAGGATGGTTCCGACACGCAAAGAAGGCGAATAGGAGTAGGTAGCCGCGTTAGAAGATGGACGGCTTCTATCGCGAAGGGAAGCATAACGCGAGGAACGGATGATAAGCCAATTCCCTTACGCAGGCCGCGACTGGGAGAGCCAGTAGCTCAGTACGGACCAGCGGGACTGAAATCAGGTCGAGCCTTCGAAGGAAGACTTCCCCCAGTGATATCGCTTAGTCGAAGGTACAAACATAACTATAACGTGTAAGCTAGAGGCACATTAAAAGTGACACAAAGCGATAGTAATCAAATAGCTGACCGGGCCGTGCCTCAAAGTCGTCCGGTTGGTGAATAGGAACGACCTTCGTTCAGTCGGATTGATTTCCCAAGTCGCTTGGAGGACATTGAGAGCAACAGTAAGCAAGGGGGGGGGGGGGGGAGGGTCCAAGGTACATCTCTTCGGGAAAATGGGTAGCAGTTAGAGCGTCGCCGTCCTATCGAAAATGAATGTCGTGCGTCTCTGCATACCGAAGGCGTAGAAGCGGAGGCGCCATTCGTCATATGCATCTAGCGTCCGGAGATAGTCGCTAAAGTGGACAAACCACTGCAAGAAGATAAATCAGAGGAATGATAATTAACAAACGAGTCAGAGCTCACTCTGCGCCCAAACAATTATGGTATTAAGCAGCTCCACAGGCACAAGCATGAGTCATGTTTGAAGTACTCCTGTGCCACGGCACAAAGCAGAACCACATAATGATATAGTCCCGGTGGCCAGAATGTAATATCGCTGAGTCAAGATTCAGACGAATCACGACATGTACAATGAGCGCTAAAAATTCACTGGCAATAGGTGTCACAAGATTCACGAATTCAAACAGCGTCCATACAAACGGATCGCCGCTCCGCGTGTAAAAAAAACTGCTTGAAGCGCTTGCCCAAGATCGTTACAGTGTTATGGACATCTCCGGGACAAGAATGTTGGCTTGATTCTTGAACAAACTGAACTTGGTATTAACATTCGCCCAAGCTTCAGCTCGAATGGCCATCTTCGACAGTCTGCGCGAACCGATAAGAACGAGATGAATGCAATTATGTAAGCATAACACACCTGGCAGCGCATTTAATATTATTTGGAAAGCGGGAAGGGCGTTGGTGCCAACAAACGCAGCGCGAACGATCTATAGAAGCATTATTCTGACTAGAGTCAGAATGGAATGAGAAAACTGCTGAAAGCACGTAACCACCTTTCTCGATGGTGGCAGATTTCCTGCTTGCGTAACTATTGGACTAGTTGCAAACTGGCATTAGTAGAGAGAAGAAAATCACAATCAAGCAAACGTACCCAAAGGAGCGCAAGAACCCTATATCACCTAGTTGCCGTGCACTTCCAGCGCGGCGGGATTATTCAATTAAGGGCGGTCAGATTTTGCGCCGGCATTGTAACGAACGAAAGGTTCCTGAAGATCGTTCAAGATGGCTGCGGACGATGATGGTCGGTGTCCAACGATTGACATCTCATCGGCGCGGCTACAGTGGAACAAAGGAGGTAATTGAGCGGACCTCTGCTCGCAGTAAATCACCGGCGACAGCGTACTGAGCGCGTACTGAGCGGAGCCGCCGTCAGATCCGTATTGCTGGCAGACATAGGATCTTTCAACCGACAAGGCACTGACGTCGCTTAACCATTCGCCAAGCAGGTAGCAAGATTGACATTCACAGTTGAAGGCGCGACGTCGGTAAACATTTTCCGCTCTCTCTCCGTGTTGGATGACCGTACATACGTCAATAGAAGGTACGGTACCGCCAGCGCCGGCAAATGAAGGACCTGGACACTGTGAATCGCTGCTATTAGCTCATAGTATAACCGCGCTAAGAACAAGATGCTACCTCGCCGACTGAGCGTAGACACGTACTCATTCGTTCTGACAATGCGTACAGTCACCAGCTACCAGGAAACGTATTTATTTGGCAATGATACTGTTGTCGGAAAGCATCATCTTGAGGAGTTCCGAAACTTGTGCATGGAGGCTCTCTGCCGGCGGCGTTTAGCGAGGACGGGAGAAGAGAGTAAGAAAACATACTGGTCCTAGTCAGATCCCCAGCGTATTCAGCATTAGCTTCGCTTATTTTGTCTTCGAGCCTTTTCCGTATATTAGCTGTCATGAGTACGCGGTCAGCATAACAGAGCGCAGTCTAGCAGACGGCCTTCGTACCTTCAAAGACCTCTACGGCATCATACTTGTCCGGGTTCCTTATAACTTCGGAACGGGAACAGAGGCACTGACGTGAAGAAAATTGGATCGAGAAGTGAGGTAGGCAAGACTATTCGACATTACAGTGAGGGGCTTCGAGAGCATTGTTCCATGTCAACGATTCGCATCGACTAGGCGAGGGTGAGTACCCACCTGTTCGATTTCATCCTGAAGCTGCGTTACACGGGCCATATGTGTCAATTCCTGGAGCATTGCGTGAGGCGCCCGCGAATAAAAAAGGGAAAAACATCGGTCGCGCCGACGTAAACAAGTAAACGATGCACCCAGCGGAGATTGAAAGTTGCTGTTCCCCGTCGGCCTGACTTCTACCCTAACCCTAGGGAATCCGCCAGCTTTGTATGATATCGGGCAGCATGAACACGTCAGTGAAGTGGTCCCATTCGCCAAAAAAAAAAGAATAGTAACGTTATGTGCTAGTTGAAACATGAATAGATATAGTCTCCATTTGAAAAAAAATGAAAAAGCAAAAGATAAAAATACCGAATTCGCTGTTCCGTCTACGGGAAATCACAAACGGCGGAGCACCCCGACACCTGTAAAGCCGTAACCATAATAACCAAAAAAAAAATTATATCCCGAAATTCACGCAGACAGTATCAACTCCGGTGTAACGAACACGGCGAAATTCTTCGTGCCTAGACCATCTCGAACCATGAGCACAAGTCCATTCTCCTTCAAAAGAAAAACGTATTACACACCTTTCTCGCGATACATAAACTCCTGCGCAGTCCAGATCTGCAGACGTCCCTGCCCTTTCAACGAGCCCAGACACACATTCATCGATTTCTCGAAATACGTCTGGCTCGGAAAATAATGGGCGTAGTTCTCCAGCTCCTTATCTCCAAACACCACATGCAGATTCGTCTTACGGTGTTGCTGGGCGAAGATTTTTCCAAGGTTGGACCATACGTTCAACGGGAAATCCTCTTGTTGCGTCCCGAAGATGACGTTCATGTACACGTTCTGCACGCAGTCCGGCATGGTTGTGAACATGTTGACAAGCCATGAGAAGTATTCGTCTTGCGTTGGCGTCGAAGAACGGGGGTATTTCATCCACACTTGTAGGTAAAGGGACCTCAGCTTCGTGAGCTTGCTCATATCGATATGTCGAGCCGCTAGATAAACCAACACTATTAAGCAATGAATGACGTTAAGTGAGCGCACAACTCACTATACGGCAGCGCGCGAGTAAACATCACCAACTCCTCCAGTGTCGTAGGCACCTTATCCAAAAGCCGCTGAATGACTTCAAACGACGTCAAAGCCGACGCCGTCACCCTCAGAGCACGCAACTTGCCCAACTGCGCCGCAGGGGTCATGCCACTAAGGTTATTCAACAATATCGACTGTACGATATTATCATCTACGCGTATCTGCAACGCCTGCAGCGACGGCATCTTCCACTCCGTCGGAGGCTCAAACGCAATCTGGGCATTGGGATCCTCGTTATTGCGATCAACCGGGGGATCGTCATCTACAAAATCAAAATCAATAGGGGCTTGGTTGAAGATACTCAGGGAAAAGAGGTATCGCCAGTCCCTACCCGACCCCGCAGACAGCCCTGAGGTTTTCTCTTTAGGGCGGTTGTCCTGCAAGCCGACTCTCTCCAATCTGAGGAGTTCCAATGAGGGAAACAATGAGATCGCCTTGAGCAGTGTCGAGAGGTCTCTCAACTGCATGAGCGAGAGATCCAGACACCTCACACTGCTCAACCCGATATGCAGGTGATCCGCAACAGACGATAACCCATCACTGTCGACTTTCAGAGTACGGAGGTTCGGAAGGCGACGAAGCACCTCTGCGGTAATAGGAGAAACGGAATGACTGTAGATGTGTAGTCTCTTTACGTACTGCCCGACATGAGGTGATTCCGTCAGGAGTGCATTGAACTGCCTGCAGGATCGTCGGAGAAGCTTAATGTTCCGGAGCAGCCGCTTCTGCGCAGAGGGAGTGAAACAGCTGTTTGCCAGGGAAATTGACCGGTACGTGGAGATTGTCGAGAATGGGTCTCCGTCTAGATCGTCGAGGATTTTATCGATGAGCTCCTGTGGTAGACGCGTCGCCATTTTTTCTGCAAGAACAGATGAAGGTTTGCAATATTAATATAGGAACAGGGTCGCACCTGAAGAATTACTTCACTGTAGAACCAGAAAATGCCACCTCGTTCCGAGAAAGGCCTGAGCAATACTGGGGATGAGATTTAGCAAGGTAGTAATAGGTAACACAGTACCATGGCTTACATGTCCTATAAATCTAGTTTCTTGGGCAGGAAGAAATTTGTTTGATCCAAGGATGGCGGTAATGAGACAAGGTGAGATTTCTATGATGCTTAGTCAGCTTCATTTCAGAATCGAACGGTCGGGCCGGACTCCCGTCTTGCCTCCCTCTCACTGCACTCCCTCTTACCTACCTATCTCTTGGATTAAGTGTCAACACTCCGCCGACACATTTTCGCAGCGACGCGATAAAAGCTGCGAATACGTACGTTTTTCTCCTCGGTAACATCGGCCTCTCAAAACTCACAGGCGTCTAAATCCCTCATTCTATCAGAAATTAACTGATTTGTCCTGCCATGAGAAATATATTGCTACGCTCCAAGGTCGATTCTTTCCATACCTGAAAATTTGCAAATTCAACTACTACTCCCAGAAACATAGTAACTACGCTCGCGACAACCTACTACCCTGGCTTTAAGAATCAGAAGTCCATACCCATCAATGGATATCTCCTAATCACAATACCTCGGTGAACGTAAACAACGCTTCCTCCGAGTCTAAACTCATCACCCTGACCGATAATCGTGCGTTCTCGCAACTTGAGATGCCGTTCTAGCCTTTTATTCCGCTAAGATGGCTTTAGAGAGAACTCCAAGAACGTCCTAGTCTATCACACCACCCGGTAAACACCCAGAGGCACCATACCTTCTGACGGCGATACTTCTGAATAATTGTGACAATTCCTCCTTGTGGACTTCCCACCATCACAGCCCAGAGTATAAGAATCCTTCTATCCCACCTCAGTTACATCGCCAGGTTTGACCGAAAACCGTGTGCGCTGATAGCCTATTCCCGTAAAATCATACTTTACTGTAGTCAGTCTTCTGGAAATCCGAAAGACACGAATCACATCACCATGAATGTCATACTGGTAAGGTTTCAAACGAAATCTCGAATCCAATCTTTGCAGCTTCTAATTGTCCCGGCCATCACAGTCTGGGGTATGAGAACGCCTCTTCCCACAGGCTTGTAGAAAGTCGGCGCCCATCGTCCTAACCGGGAGTCGCTCCCCCTTCTGGGAGAGCGGGTGTATTAACTCTACGAGTCAATGATCGCCTACTATGCCTAGCGCCAGGTTCAGCTTTCGTCGCTCCACATTACGTTAATTCCCTGGTGTTTAAACGGAAATATCGCCAATACTGGTATGTGAACGGAGAAACGCTACTCGCTATCAGGATACACTACGATACACCAATCAAGATACCCTAAAGAAACAAACATACGAACACCGGTCACCATGATAAACCCGTCAAAAATCCTACAGACTTCGATCGCCCTCTTCCCCCTTCATTGACATCTTTGCCAACAACCTTGCTGGTCCGGCAGTCAACAGGCGCGCTTGACCGTCTCGAGTTCCCAGACTCAGAATGCCCCGAAGGAAGCGTAAAGAACACCTCCGGAGAAAGCAAAGGCACACTCTTTCTCTCCGGCACCGACTCGTCGTCGCTGTACCACGACCCTGAGGATTCAGAAGAGCGAGCAGAGAAAGTGCCCCAAGTGCTCCTCGAGGAGCAAACCGACCATCGGCTCCTCGAAAGACCACCATTGAGAGCAGCCACTTCCAACGAAGATCGATTGGTGCCATTACTGCGAACCGTCTGCAAAGGAAGCGTCAACCATGGCAATTTTACCGTAGGCACCGGCTTTGCCTTGCGAGGTGCCTCCGGCGTCGGCGGCGTGACGCAGAAGCTGAAGGAAGACTCGTGGTTCCCCTTTTCTGTCGCCTCGGTCAAGCTATCTTGTTCAACAACGTCGTCCCACCGTACTACTTTCCCTTTTTTGATGCCTCGTACTCGATTTAACCATTTTTTGAGAGACGGCCTGCTTGCTACGAAATAGACAAGGACAACTAGAGCGATCAAACTGAAGAACCCAATGACAAGGACGACTAGCCGGTGGACCGGAACATGATAGTGTTTAGGCGACGTCTGCGGCGTTTTTGTGTGCAAAGGATTGACAGGAACTGAGGATGAAAAGTCGGAAGTAGCAGAAAGAGACGTAGTTGTCCCAAGGTCGAGCTGCTGCTCGATCGAAGATACTGAGGTTGGGACGATTACCAGGCCTGGTCCTACTTGAATCGGGCTGGTCCTAGTAGGTGTTGGTATGGAGTTGGACACGAAATCGACGCTACTCGCCGCATCTTGCAGCGTGGCAGTCAGACTGGGCGAGTCGGTATAGCTTGGCACGTCCCACAAGTAACTCGAGGCACTTGGAGATGCAGATGCAGAGTCCTCCGTCCGATCCTGGCTAGGCGATGATGTGCTTGTTGGCTCCGCGGTTTGCGCATCCGACGTGGGAGTTGGTGACGGCGTCCGAGTATCGTCCTGAGAGTTTGATATCATGGTCTGCGAATACTGAGTTTCGGCATCCGAGAGTGCTGGAGAGGTGATAACGCCGTCAGAGATAGCCCTTCGTGTCGAATTGAGGGCATCAGTAAGGCTCTCTGAAGATCCAGGAGAGATAGACAAAAGGGCATTATCAATATAGGAAGATATGAGGGCGATACGGGCATCGTGGGTTGTTCGGTTTGGATCGTCTTGTAGGCGTAAAGGTGAAGCCAAGGCGCCCTCCGAACTCGCAACCAAAAGATAACAGAATATGACAGTAAGGTGTTGGAAGGAACGTGGTGCCATGGTGAAGATGTGTTGTCTCGTGTAGGTGGAAGCCAGAAGTATAGGCGTGGGGGGATGTAAGGGCAGGGTAAGATAGACGAGATGGTGGTTGATAGTTAAACGAGACGAACATGTTAATCCCGAACCATTTAAATGCCGGATCCCGGTGGCTTGCCTTTTTAGTAGCTAAACACGATCACGTCACCACTATACATCTTCAGGGGAGCCGTTACAGTGATCACAAGGCATGGGTTGGAGGCTAGTAGATATTGATAATTTGTTTAAAATAATCCAGCGTAAAGGCGGATTCCTAGGGTAGGGAGCGTTTTCGTAGGCCTCTGCGCAAATCCCCGAAACACCTCTGACTTGGCTAACACGGAGCTCCGCTTCGTTCATGAAGATGAGCCATCGGCGCCGTCTCGGTTTCAGTGCCGAAGAGCGGCTGAGGCTGATTCATGAGAGACCTCGGCGTCGATGTCTCAGACTCATCTCCATCTTCATCCCGCACCCCCAGGCATCAAGGCTTCGCCTCTTCTATCATTGTCAGCCAATTCTCATTGCCTGGTGAGGCTCTGCCTCCACTACCAGCTTATAGAAGCTCACCCATAGTCTCCCGGCCTCATCACTTCTAACTGATTTTTAAATCAAGTTCTATTGCATTCTATTGTACAAGTCGCTAGCGAACCTCTTTTGTCACCCACCCACCTCTCCCCTGTACCTATATATAGCCAAATTGCATTCCACTTCCGGGGTAAGCAGCAGAGGTCGGTACAACCCTGGACATCTGGTCCGAAAGGGCGTGGGTTCGAATCCCACTCTCATCACTACATGGAATGCCTTAGAGATGATGGGAGATGAATGGATGGATTGTCCGTCTAACTGCGGAAACGTGCGCTCTATGTCTACGCTGCCCCTAACGTACACGTGCTACGATCCGCCTCCTCCGCCTTCTCCCCTTACGCTCCCAGCGGCATGTTTCTTGGCCTCGTGTACATTTATGAACGAATCTCCTTTCGCAGCGAAGGCAAGAATGCCTTTGGATCGTCTTTTTACGCGAATGGTTCGAATTTACATGCACTTTTATGTGTCCCTAAGAGTGTTTGATGATAAAATTACTGAGAAACATACTGCAGGTCGATACTGACATTAAGCGCTTTACTTTTGAGGAATACTACACCGCATCCTGGACAAGGAAAAATGCCTGCTGTATGCACCGACTTGTAACCCTATCTACCAGTGTTAGCACTGGCGTTTTGTTAATGAAACTACCACGCTTACCGCTTACTGACAACCCTCTGTAACTCCTGCTTTCAAACTCGCATCAGAAATGCGGACATTTGTATAAGCGAATCATTTGGATGTCATACAACGATGGCAAAAATCCAGCAGTGCGTTTGAAATATTCAGTACTCTCCCTAACTGGCTTATCACTATCCCCGACCTCAGACCAGACGATGGTACTACAACTTGAAGTTGTTGAACTCAGCGCCGACCCCGGCAGTATCGTCGTTGTTGCCCCGTGTTCAAAACATCTTTCAGCAGCTGGTATATATGCCGTTTCATGGTATTGATAAATCGGTGTTCGAATATTCTGCAAAGTCCGCATCAGCTCCAGGACTGACGACCGTGGACAATTGCTGAGAAATATAACAAACAGAAGGAAGCAAGGAATCCATTGATGTCAGAGAGGTGGCTGTCGTGTCAGAGCCAAGAAGTACGTCAGCCTCAGATTCGAAGTACGGATAATATATATCCCAGTCCTCGAGGCTATTGACGCTCCGATATGTGGCGCAGCTGGTCCCTGCACAAGAGAACCATAGTCCGCCAAAGAATTCATGTCTGCGTCGGTGCGTCGCCATCTTGGCAATGCGCTTCTTGACGTCGGCTTTGATCCTATCACCGATGAGCTCTGTGACTCCAGTTAAGAGTCAACAAACAACAAGTTATGGATCCAAAAGCGTCTGGCACCTTCATTTCGTCTGTGGATGAGAGGGATTCCTAAAAAAAATCATGGTAAGTCTCAGACATGACCTCAGACTCAAAATACATACCTTTGCGTAGCTGTGGCGACATGACGCTATTAAAGCTTCTGGCGCTTCCACTTCCGCGACGTCGGCGACTGGCAGGCATTGATATAACGCGTAACTGGGGCAAATGGGGCCACATCCACAGCGTTTGGCATTTTATATGAGAGCACCAAAGTGATCTTGAATTCTTTTCTTGTTCGGAGGGGGAACACTAGAATGGTAATCGTTCGTTATGGTAGTGTACAGGGATCTGCGGTATTAGGGCATATATTGCCCGCGAATAATGATGGACTCGGAGCATTGACAGTTTCAAATGTAACAGTGGTATTGCGGACTTTCAATCGTGGCGTAGGCCCGTAAATGGCCCAAGGAAAGAAAGTCGATCCTCTATTAGCGCCCTGTCATACATTATGAACGAATGGGATGAGAGATTTAGAAACTCACAATATTCTAATGCCCCAAATCTGAGTTGAGGTCGGTTTCATCCATACTCCACTTCACCCCTGGTTGGTCTACTCTGCGGTCATGATCAATCTGGACCTGGACTTGGAGCTCGACGTCTCGCGGCGTAGTAACCGGCATGCTGGTCTGATCATCTGATCTACTGCCGGTGTACGGGTTTCGCCCACCCGATGGCTGCAGGGATTTGAATGAGCGCATCCCGGCATCTAGATAAACAGGATTGGTCACAAGAGGTCGTAAGTAAGGGCAAGAAGAACCATACTGCGTGTTTTGATGAGGATGTTCTGTGTCATAATCCATGTGAAGGTGAAACCCAGACTTACCCTGAACCGAAAGCGTAAGCGTGAAGCTACGAGAGGGGTGTAAACACTTACCCAGCAGCTTGGCTTTCTAGCTCCAATTCATGATATAGAACGATGTTGAGTGTATTCGTAACTGTATCCTGGTAAGCATAAATTCGACCTTCAGATGCATCAAGCTTACTGGTGAGAATAGCGATATACCCTAGTCCATCCATAATCATGGCCCTACCCAGACCAGTCATACTTAAAAAGGTGTCAAACTTTGATAAGAACTATGTGTGAGTGAATACTCACGAAGACAATCCGGCCCCGCCAACCCTGATCAAGTAATAGGTCGAAAGGCCAAGAGTCACAACATCATACCTGAGAGATAAAATCAGTAGTGCGAATACACGAAATGAATCTCACATACAACATTGCCCAGATGTAGAAGGTCCAGTTGACTAATTTCGTCGGTTCATTCCCAGAAGTGCAACTCCAGATAGTTGTCAGCGTGGATTCGCTACCTGAGATATATCAGAGATCAGACTTACTTGCCGTTCGCCTGGAGCACGACTCTCCCATACAAGTTAGTGAACCACTGCAGGGCGATAATTATCAGAGTGAAAATGATAAGAAAGATCTTCACACGCTCCGAGCGCCTCGAGATGCTGTACGTTCGAAGGCCAAGGACAAACTGGCACACGCACGCCTGCAAGACTTGCAGAATATCAGTCACTGCGCTCACGAATTGAAGGGAAAAAATACCTTTTAATGCGACGGGGAACATATAATACCTCCGACATGATTCTGGACTAAAGGAAAGTGCGAAATAGCCAACATTGCTGACTATAACAAGGGTCATACTGATGTATCTGATGAGGACGAACAAGACGAGGCTGCCAAATAGGAAAATGTCAGTCACGGAGAAGAAAAGAAAGGATAGGGAACATACTTGGCACGAATCTGATGATCTCTGTCCCTCCAAAACTTGTACTCTGCTGGCATGGTACGAACATAGCTAAAAGAGGCTCGAGTGCGCTCAATCGACGATGACAGGAAGACCCGTACTCGTATGCGCATATGGCGGTTGTACCGATACGAAAAATTGTGTCCTTCGTCAACGGTATTTTGCTGCTGTACTCGACCTCAGCAAGCAGCATGCTTGCGACGAAGTCAGTCAGGCAACTTGGCACCAGCGAGGATAGTAGAGATAGAATCGTTGCAAGTCCGCATCCCAAGGCTGGAATCTAAGACAACCGGAAGATACCACAGGGGCATGGTGTGTTCGATTGCATTGGGTCGAAGGGTCCAGAAGCCGTATTTAGGGGTCGCCGCATATGGATGCCTCGCGTGATCCGAGGTGCTTGCGCCTGCTGGACCTGCGTTGAACGTCCATGCAGCTACGTACGTCGTGAATTTTGTGCAAAAATTTGACACGAAAACAGACCCGTGTTCTACAGGCAGATTCCAGACTGCCATCGCAATTCAATATCCAAGTCACTCCCACGATCCGCTCGAAGGTTTTGGATCTGCGGTTTATTGTAACTGACTCTATTAGGACAAATCTTTCGACTTCCGCTCACGTTTTTCCCTCAAACTGTATTGATGTCGTCTCCCATTTAAAGCGATTAAATATGGTGCCAAGGTAATAGAAATAGCTGTTTTTGGTAGTACGCGTTGATCTCATTTAACGCGATCGCTCGCTGATGTCACTGCACAGCGTGTATCAACGTGTTTAACCACGTGTCTTAGAGTAATTCTTAAGGACACAGGATTGGTCTGTACACGAGGACATCTCAACACGGCATGGTTCTTTTATAGGCCGTTCCTGTGAACCTGGTCCCAGTTTTCTAGCATATGTGGTAGCATGTATGCATGCATATTTTGAAATGCCTTTAACAGATGCTTTTCTCTTTGACACTGATGCTCAGGCCCTTTCTCAAATGTATCTTCATGGGCTCATGGTCATGGTCCTACTTTATGTTGGGATAGCAATCCCAAGCAAGTACAAGAATGTACTTGAAGACACTACATCAATCAGCAGCAGCTGACTTAGACTATAATTGGGACTTATATAGTATTTCATAGAAAGCTCTCAAAGTAGTACAAAATGTATTTAAGTATGATGTCTCTCTCTTGAGAGGCTAATCTAATTCTCTATACTGTACTTTCAACAGGTTATAGGCCCCAGCTATAACTGAACTACTTACATTGCTACTCACTTCACACTCTCTCATACTTCATGTACACATGTAGAACCACATGGATAGCCAGTCCATGTACAGAATTGATCCCCTTAAGGGCCCAGAAAATTACCTGACTTGGAAAATCAAGATGATAAATATTCTAACCAATTTAGGACTAATTGATTATGCAGATGGAAGCACTCTGGCCTTGGCAGATGTGGCACTGGTGGCAGATTGGAAGAAGAGCAATAGGAAAGCTCTTTTGACAATAAGATTATGGGTTTCAGATAGCCTGTGTTAAGCCCAAATTCCATGTGACCTAAACACATGATAAACTGACACTGCCTCACACTTCAGGCAATGATGTCAGAGTCTACTGAATGTGTTATTTGGTTCTGTGTAGTCAAGGCATTTGCATGTCACTTGAGATAAGATGGTGAAGATAAAACTTTAGCTTAAAGCTGGGGTTATTACAGCAAGAGCTACACTACTTATATACCAGTTGTCATCTGTTCTAAAGATATAACTACCTAATTGTGCATCCTGGCACTATAGAGTGTTTTGTCCAGTGTTGTGAAGCTATCTACAAAAGGATATTGTTCATCATTGAGCAGTTACTGTTGTGTTGAAGAACAGTGACTGACTAGGTACTGTTGTGATGACTAAGCCTATCCCATGGTCCTAAGTGCTGGTCTAGATGCTCTGACTAAGCAAAGATAAGGGTCAATCTCTTGAATAAAAGATAAAAATGAGGAAAAATCATAATATTACCCCCTCTTTAAGACTATCATCCTGATGGCTAATTTAGAGATAAGTCCATATGTTCATATAGCAGATGTATGAAGACATTGACTGATAAATTATCAGTTCAACATCTGTTCATAGTCATGAATTGCATTCTCAGCATTCATGTACTTTTTGTTGACCCATTGATTTGACTCTGGTCTGTAGCCCTTCCAACTGACCAGATAGTCTACAGTTGTTGTTGTTCCTCCACTATGGGCTTTGACTTTGTGGAGCTTGTTGTTATGATTTTCTCCCATTCAACCTTTTATTTCATGATTAACCCCTATTTATGCTTAGTCAGAGTGCTAAGATGAGTGCTTGAGACTATGGGACAAAGCTTAGTCATCACAACTAGCTGAGTCTGTCATTGTCTTTTGAGTCAACAACATTGCCTGATAATGCACAATCACTCTTTTGTGTATGATAACAATGCTCTAGGACAATAGGCATAATGGACTCAGAAACTTACAATAGGCAGGTAATATTATTAGCAAATCTTGTACTATATTTAAGGAGGTTTGCTCTCACTGGTAATTCCCAGCTTTGAGCCAAAGTTTATTCTTATACCATTCTACCTTGAGCCAGTCTACAGGCCTTGTGACATACTGATCAGACTATATATCAGTGAATCTGGTTGATCTCCTGAAGTGTGAGGAGACTACTGTGTATCACATGTATCTGTTCACATGATGCTTGAATCTAACAATTAGCTTGAAGCTTCTTCTTCTCTTTCCTCATGCACTATGGTGTGGAGGAAACTGAATGCCTTCTATCAACATATCAGATCTGAACTTTGATTGGGAGTTCTTCAAACTCCTAGCCTCCATCATCAAAACACTTTTAGGCTTACTTGTGATCATCCAGCTGTGTTGGGGATGTCACTTGATTACTGCCTAGACTGTCTGACACTACAATGAATTCCAACACATCCATCATATCCTCTGCAACATAACCTCAGATCTTCCTTTACATGACATCTTTAAATCCCAAAGAACATCCCACCAGCTCACAACAAGCCCCATACCTGAAGCTGGATCTAGCAGCATGCATCAAGAGAACATTCAAGAAGAGGAGAGATACCGATACCCTCTCTCTGACCCAACAGCAGAAACAGCAACACTGGTCTCACAGGATTTTGAAACCCTTGGGTACAAGCCTCTGTCTCTGACCATGAGGATGAGGAGCTCCCAGGGGATTTCTTCCAGCAGTCTCTCTCCTCTAACTATTTCACCATCCCTCGAACCCATGGGGTTGCTGACCATGCCTGAGATTCTCTTGATGCTGCTCAGATAGCTCCAAGACTCTGACAGGCATCACATGGAAGCCAGTCTCACAGCCCTTCCACTCTGGCATCTATCAGAACCAGCAGCAGGATGGGGTGGACTTCCTCAGAGTGGCTCAGAGACAAGCGACAAGCCTGGAAAAACTGAAATGAAGTCATCCACTACCTATTCTCTGCATGGGATCTCAACATTCCCTTTAATTATAAAGATGCCCTTCAACAGGAAGAGCAAAGACAGCATAATCTCCTCCAACCTATCCATAGCAAGCTCAAAGAAAGAATCATCAAAGATGGAAGGAGGAGGCAGAAAGCCACTGAATACAACCAGCAGCACCAGGAAGAGCAGTGAGAGATCAAGAGGAGATGATTGGAGAGGGCCAATATTTCCAACTGGTATAGGCTCTGACCAGAAGTTGTATCTGTACTCATGCCTGTATGGGCTGACCATTTCCTTTCCACCTCAGTATTCAGAAAACCCAGTACTACCAAGTCCAATCTCTGAGCCTCAGAGCTCTGGACCAATGCAGAAGTCCTCATAGCCAGTAAAGCCCAATAAAGGAGTGATAGAATCCTTTCTCTAGTCCAGGATGATGTCTCTAGAACCCCTGCCTGCCCTCCAACTCCTCAATATCCCCCTTCTAGAAGGACTCTCAGTGCTGACACCATGTTTGGAGATGACAAGTCTGTCCTTGGACATTACAGATTATGAGTCTCTAACATGGCTCACATCTCTGCCTGCACTCTCTGAGGCTTCCTTGGGAGTCAGATAGTCAGGCAGCTTCTCAACAATAGATACTGAAAAAATGTTCAGCTCTATTGCAAGCAGGTGGTGGTGGCATGAGCAACAGGTGGGAATCAGTATGACTCCAATATTGAAAGTCAGCCTGCCTTTACCTATCTCAATGCCTCAAGCTCTTCAAGCCCTGTTGCTGGGCCAAGTATTCAGCCAGAACAGTGGGTTGACAGTATGACTGCAAGAGGGTGCAGAGAGTTTTTATGACCCACCCACTGCTTCCCTCCTTGAAAAAGAGGAGAGTGATGAGCTCAGAAAAGACAAGGAGACTGAGAGCAGCAAGTCACCTCATGCCAGAGGGAAACTCACATATGGACTGAATGAAGACATAGATGAAGAAGCATTGGAAGAGGAGATTTAGTGTACAAGGATATGGGAGTACCAGGAGTTGTATGAAAGAGGGATAAACTTCTTATAGTGTGACACCAACTGGTTAGTATCACAAACCAGACAATTATATTTGCATTCTGAGACTAACAAATGAACAGAGGTTTTGAGACATGCAGCAACAAGATATGCTGCCCAACAGTATAGCAGAAATCATTCCAAGGATCCAGTCAGCATACTACCAGAGTATCAACTGCCACTCTCGATCTGACCAATGCTATGATCACTTTCTATCACCCTGAAATGAGCTGTGTATATGGCATTATCAATCTGAAGTACTTTTTTATATTCTGCACCCTTCTCCTGATCTATGGCAACTTGGCTGTTATGATTCCAACCTCAGCCAAAGACTCTGACAATCTCATACTGAAATCTCTGGATCAGCAGGGGAAGCTGAATCTTGAGAGTCCAGCCCCTGCCTGACAAAGCAAGCAGAAAAAAACAGAGTCATCATCTGAAAGGAGGCCCTTCCACAAAGGAGCTCTATTGCTGATGACAACTCACTTTATTCATCAACTGATTTCTGGTCAACTGCAAGCAATACTTTGAAGTCTACATCAGATATCTCAGAACTGATATGAACAAAGTAGTCTTTGCTGCCTCCTATCTCAAGGAGAAGGCTAAAATATGGTGGATCCTAATCTTGCCAAACTTCTGATCCTCCACTAGAGAGCACTACTGATATCTCTCATGGTCAGTGTTCAAACAAATGCTATATGACAAGTTCATTGACCCAGTGATTCAAGAAATCCATAAACAAAAGATCAAGGACTACAAGATGAGAGACAAGATGGCCACTGACTACTTCGATGAGCTAGAACAACTCATGAAGCTCACTGGCATTTGAGATGACATGGCAAACAACAGATGAATGGTCGAGGCTCTCAAATGAGGAGTCCCTTCCTCATATGTCATGATGATCTCTGCTATCAGCATCAAAGCCCTGATGCTAGTAGGCTATGATGAATGAAAGAAAAGGATTATTGAGATGTATAAGGAATGACAAAGGCAGAAAGCAGAACAATCAATGCTGCAAGACTACT